GATAGCTAAGTTGGACCTATTCCCTTTAGATTTTTAACAGCTGCTTTTGAACAAGGGGACACACCTGCAGCAGATTTTAAAATGCCTGAGATACCTTTAGTGCTTTGTACCGCTTTGACTGCTTGGTGGATTCAACCTCACTTGACACTCCATTCTCCAAAACATCCTGCAAGACCAGAGAATTTAAATGAATTTAAACTACATCTTGTTAGGGGGTGAACATGGAATGCTAAAAATTTTCACTTACTTTTATAACTCTAAGCGAGTGTTCTCCAAGACAAGGCAGACCCCTGAGCTGTGACATGCTTATCACCTGTGTGGGGAGCGCCTTCATCAAGGCAGCAGCTCGTCGAAAGGCAACGCCTCGTCCGTCCTCATTATTGAGCTCAGCGTTTTCAGCTAAAAGCGACAAGGCATCCTGAGGCAGAAAATGCAGTTCTGACATATGTGTTAGCTAACATGGCACCTAAAATCAGACTTCTGTGTTTGCTTGGGGTGGGGGGTAGAGGGCTTACAGTCAAGTTGCTGTTATGGTTGTCCAGAGTGGTTCGTCTCTGACAGGCATAGCTGGATACTGAGAACAAAGCAACCTCTGCTTCACTGATCTGCTGCTCCTGGAAGACAAACATAAGGACTTAAAGTCTTCAGTATAACCTGAAACCAATGCCTATTTGGTTTAAAATACATGTTGGTTAACTTAAAGCTAGCTTTGGAATGGATAGAGCAGGAATGATTACAGCAGGGTGATGTTAAACTTTTGCAAAAGCCGAACCTCAAATCTGTGGTATGTGCTAGGCTTCATGTCAGGAAAAGCCAGCTTCATGTTTAAACCAAGCCTAAAATGTCAAACTCTTACCAAAAATACATTTTAGGATTATACCAAAAACTCATTGGCTAATAAACCAAATTATCAAACCAAATTGGTGAGGGACATTTAACCAAGTATAGGGTTTTCTGACAGACCATTTTCTTGCTCCATTATTCACTGTGGTCTGAGAGTAAAAATTCTTTGTGGTTCCGAGCTATTGTTCCCATTGCGCTCCCAGAACACTCACAACTTTGGAAATTCTCACCTTGACCTGAGCCTCCCCTGGCTGAGGCCTAGAGTTTCTCAAACATGCACACTTGCCCAATTTCTTCTTACCATCATACGTGGAAGAAACAAAAATGAGTGAGTGCATCAGAGACATACAAAGTTAAGAGGCTTGTACTCTGTTGGGAAACGCAATTACCTGCCTGCACTGCTAAACCAGAAAGCATTGCAATTTCTGACTGAGGAAACTTACAACAGTTTCTGAGGAGGAAACCAGGGAAGTCCCCAGGAGTGACAAAGAAAGCAAGAAAAGCAAGAAACAGTTGATTCAATTTTCCTTCAATTCAATTCAGTTTTATTTAGCATCACAACAGTAGTTGCCTCGAGTTAGTGAATGAGTAAAAGAGAATGCCAGATGATAGGCATAAGTGGAGGACAAGAAAAAACACATCTGTCAGTCTGAGACGGGAAACTCGCTACAGTTATTTTTTAACAAATAAGTGTAATAGTAAACTTCAATGCAGATGGAAGCCTTTTTAATGAATGCGGTTTATTAAAAGTAGCTTTGTCAGGAGTGGTCACTAGATGTACCAGTTTCTGCTCATTTTGAATTTGATGGCAGCAACATATGTCAAAAAAATTTGGACAGGGCTGTGTTAACCTCTTCCAGCAAAAGACCAGCCGATGGACTTTTGTAAGAGGAGTGTTGTTGTATTGTTGTGTGACATAGGATTCTACCGACTCAACAGTCTCAGGTTTTAGATTCGTTTCATGTGAAAATGTTTTCAACCGGTGAAAGGTCTTGACTGCAGGCAGATCAGTTCATAGCCATGCTGCTGTAACTGATGCAGTATGTTGTTTAGCAGTCGAATGTGAACTATGCAAGGCCTTCACTGAAAGTAATTTTACCATCTCACTGCTTTTTGTCCTGACATAAAAAATAGATGTGAGCCTTTCTAAATTCTAATTATAACTTACCATCTTCTAGGAGTTCACTCAGCTAATGATGAAAAACTTAATAGACCTCATAGTTACTGATCACAGATCAATGAAACAAAAAGTCATTTTTGGCAATTTAGTGTCAATAGACAAATAAAGCTGTATAAAGACTGATGGTGTCAGTGTGCAATTACTCCCTAATGGCAAGTAAAAGCATTTTACGCATGATATGTGATTTGTCACTTTATCATCAGAGAGTTGCTCTATAGGTTACTATTACTATAAACTGCTTGTATTTATTTAGTACATATTTACATTCAGTGAAAACACCTATTACTACAAAACAAAGCCTCAGATTTTCGGTTTTGATATCATGGATGTGTAAAATGAAAATGTACCTGTAGTTTATGTCTATGTGTTATCTCCACAGGATGACCAGCACGCATGCTCTCTGTGTACCAGCTGACGTCCAGGAGGTGAACTCTAAGGCTCTGACCCCTTCCCTGAGACTCTAGCCACGTCCTGACCTCAGTGCCACAGTTATTCTCAGAAATAACATGTGTGACGCTTTCACTGTGGAGAAACAGCAGATTAAAAGTAGAATGACTCATACACTTTGGATTCTGTGAAGGAGGGTTTGAAGACAGATTTACCTTAATACATTTCATTTTAGGCTTCCGCGAAACCTACATTTTCCAAGTTATACTTGCTTTCCCGTGACATTTGTATCAGTGGATTTGTGACACTTCTCACCTGAACACGTCCGCCACCTGAAAGCCTTTATTTCGTCCGAGTTGAGAGAGGAAAAATCTTCGGCTGGCTCCCATTTTTCTTTCCAACAGGAACAAAACAACTTGAGAGAACTTGTTTGGTACCTTATGTCCACTGCTGTCACTCACAGTATTCCCAGCATCCGAGGGGAGAGTTTTTCTTCGTTTTAGTGGCACCATGGTACACAACAAAACTATTTAATAGAACTCACTGGGTAGTTTGACACCAGGTCCGGTTCACTTTAGTCACAAGTTCATGACGTTTGTTCTCCTAGCTTGTCTTTTTCTTTAACTATTTTTGATAAAATTACAATTTCTAAACATACGACACTGTAACCTACATGAATGAACCTGACTCACTGGGTGAGGTTTAAGCTGTGAGGTAGGTTTGTGGGGAAAGATCCCCAATTTCAGTAACAAACGTGAATGACTGCGACCGGATGCAGCTGTGTAGCTGCTGCACCGGTGTCTCGTCACTCCTCCTGTGCACTACCAAAATAATTCCGACTGGAAATGATCGGAAGGTTTTATTTTATTTATAAGACCTCCACGTCAATTATTATTATTATTATTATTATTATTATTATTACTTGGTTACGCAGTGTGTATCCATCTCACCCTATCTGTTCTATATAGAACAGATAGGGTGAGATGGATATTAGAAGAATATTCTTCTATTACACCAGCTCTTTCCATATCCTCCTTTACTACATCCATAAACCTTAGTGGTGTACGATACTAAAAAATTTGGTATCAGTCCAGTATCAAGTAAGTACAGGTACAGCATTGTTGATACTTACCGGCGCTTTTAACGCATAAAGGCTGTTTATATAGGAGACATCAGTTTGATATGATTTATGAAGTGAGTCTTCAACAATTTGCAACTTCTGAATCCATTTTAATGACTGCTAAATAAACTAAACTGTTTTGTTTTGTTGTGCCTCCATAGTCCTAAGAAATCTAGGGTAAAAGTCTGAAAATAAAAGCCTGAAAATTTCACTGGTCTTTATTACCATCAGAATGAATCTGAATCTGTAATTTTGGACATATACTGGCTAGTCAGAATATGAAAATAAATAAATAAATCAAGCAGTCCTGTCCCATAATTGAGCACACACTAATAAAAAAAATTGCAGTAACAAAATAGTGGGTTGAATTTCTCTATTAAATGAATTTTCACAGTTCATTTAAATTTCACAATACTTCAAAATAACGTACATTTATATAGTTCGTATGAAATTAGAGAAGGTTTAACTGAAAATGCTCTAAAAGACTTATTTGATTATTTGAGATAGAGTGGCCTAAGTCTCGAAAATGAAAAATATGCATCAATTTATCAATATTATTTTCTCCCTTCCCTCTAGTACCTTCTACAAACTTCAGAATTGTGTTTTATTTGGATTAAACTATATCTACTGATATTTTTTTATTATTTTGTGATACTATTGTTGTATTTGCTCAATCCAGTGTGAAAACAAAAAACTAAAACCAACCAAAAGAAATAAAAACTACAATTAGCTGCTGAATCATTTCGTTTATCAGTTGTAGCTCAGGCTACAGCAAAAGGAAGCGCAAAGATTTGATTGATTAGATACATAGAGCAATCAGTAGAGAAATCTCTTTTCATAAGTAAAAAAACAAAAAACAAAAACAGAGGAACGTAGATTGAGTTACTATATGAGTTTATTTGATCATGTCACCATTTTATGGGATTTTAATGTGACAGCGTGATTTTGCACATAGATACGAATACCAGTGTTTAGGTTTAGGTTAGTTGTTACAACTGTTAGCTGTTAGTTCTGAAAGCATAGCACTCATTTTATTCATATTTCTGGACTGTCTTTGTTGTATGTTTTAGTTTCATAATCCACCTAAAAAAGTTCAGGAGGGAGGCCAGTTGCACACCTGGATCCTCATCCTGTTGTTATGTCTGCTAAACATGGATCACTCTGCTGTTTTGTTTAAGGGAGATGGCGTCCCTGCCATGGCAAAGATAATAAAAATAATTTAGATTTTTGAATAGAAATCCTTAATACTTAAATAGCTTAACGGTGCAAACATGTTAGCATCAAAATATTTTCAAGATGCGGGATTAGTAAAGGATATTTTATCTCGTAATATTTCAGGATTGGTTTTGTTATGCTTGGTGACTTAATGTCACTATTAAACTTAAATAAATGCAAACTAAAGTAATAAAAGCACTCTGAAGCCGTGCTGTACACGGTGTTCTCAGTCCTCTCTCCTCCCACTCAGTGTGATCATATGATCGCAGACTCTTAATCCACTTCCTCAAACTTTAAAACTACCAGTGTGTCCGGTCCAGCCGGATCACGCTCATTTTCCAGCAAGCCTCCCCTGTGCAGGAAAGCAAAGCTGCTGAACGGCAGCGGTGGCTTCGTGTAGCACCAGGCCCGGCGCTGTGGTGTCTCAATGGCAGACCTGAGGATCAGAGCTGGTGCGACCAGAAGCCCACAGAGAGGAGGCGGACACTCCGCTGCCTTGTCCCTGGTCACGCTGCTGTCTGCGCTGCTCACCTGCGGCGTCAGGTGTGCAGAAAGCGACAAACCGAGCAACATTATCCTCGTGCTTGTCGACGACCAGGATGTTCAGATAGGTGGGATGGTGAGTGAATTCACTCTAGAAATATACAGCCTGTCATTCGTGTCGGTTCCTCAGAGACTTGACAGTTTCTGTAGTGAGGTCATGCAGTGCTCATACTGTTTGAAACGTCCTGTTTATGGTCACCTGATACTGAGTTTAGACAAACACACGCTCTATTTTCTTTCTGTTTTGCGGGCTAGCTCTCAGATTTAACCTCCTCGGTGCTTTGAACCTGTTAATCAGTTAGTTGAATAGCTGAACTGTCAGATGATGAAAGAATTACAAGAATTGTGGGAAGTTTATGACTTTTGAGAAAGACAGGCTGGATATATAAAAAATAATAAAATTGAGCAAATAAAACTAACAATTAAAAATGCAATATGCGAATTTATTAAAGATACAAATGTGCGGTCACAGTATTGATCTGAGACTGAACTTAAAGGTCATTTTTGTGATTAGTTTGTACATATGTGTTAACTAAAAGTTTCATCAAAGGTGCTTGCTGGGCTGGTGTGAGGCGACAGTGCACGAGTGTGCCACCCACGCTCTTCATACTTTTTTTTTTTTTTTCATTTGTCAGGCATCATTGGAAAAAACAACGTGTTTTTATGAGTTGCAGCGTTAAATTATGGCTACAGTATCTTGTGGTACAAGTTTGTATTACACGAAACTACAGCCAGGCCCGAGGGCCTAGGACCTTCAGTTGATATCTATTCTACACAACATGCGGATGTTTTCTACATGAAATAATAGCATTTTTTTTTATGAAATTTTGTTAGGACCTACTTGGTTTTGGAATTAATCTATTTGAAACTCTGGAAGTTACGACAAGTGTTTTTAACCTAAATGTTAAGTTCAGCTTCTAACATGCTTGGAAAGCAGATGGGTTCTGAAACAATTGCTCAGTTAACTCTATTCCTGTTTCAAGTCCTACATCTGTTCCTGTGTGTATTTTTGCTTATAAGTGACGTGCAACCTTAAAGGTCTCTCCAGTATAAGCACATTTATGTTTGCAATATTTTGCTCAGAATTGAAAGCATTTTTTTTTTTTTAAAAAAAAGGAGAAATCTGGAATGCACTTAATGTATTTTCAAAAGCTGGTACCTGTTCTTATTAGGTCCTGTGAAATTCTTTACCAGATGTTTGGAACCACCAGATATTTGAATAATCCACAAAGATCCATTCACAGAAAAATGGTCAGCTGATCAAGTGTTTAGCTAAAAGAGATTACTTTATGTGCCTTTCTAGTAGATGTTTCGACAATAGCTAATACTGTCATAATGTTTTGAGTTTGTGCTTGTAGCATCTATTACTTCTCCAGTACTGTCATTATGGTGTGAGTCACTTTGTCTGTTTCTATTGCACAGACACCAATGAAGAAGGCAAAAGCCTATATAGGAGACGAAGGAGCAACATTTGTGAATTCTGTGAGTATCTTATGCAGTACATATACTTTTACTAGACTACATTTCACAGGGAGACATTTATTTTATTACGTTATATTTTCCGACAGTTGTAATTACTTGTAGATTGAAGTGTCACACAATAAATCACATTACAAGTTTATGAAACAATATATGTTGGTGAAAATTAAACCACTGGTTCCCAAACGTACTTATTATGACTTCCTTTTACAAGTGTCTACTTGGGGAATCCTGTCATTTTTCAGATGTGAGCAGTTTGACTAAGAAAGAAAAATTCTTTTCTTGAAGTGTCAGAGCAATTGGTGGGAATCACAGACAAATACAATATATAATATTCTGATATGTTGCCCATGGTAACGAAGATATTATGATAATAATGAATCAGATACATCAAATCTGCAAAACCACATACATTGCAAGACAATAATCAAAGATATGGCACAAGATGTGTGTATGAATGAAAGCAAAACTCAAATGTTCTTGAAGCACTGTTTGCACCAGTGATTACACAATAAATGAGTCTCATATCCTCCTTTCTGCTGTCACGCTTCTCTCCCTCCCCCTTTCTCCCTGTTCTCACTTCTTCCTCCTGCGAAGTTCACAGTCACGCCACTGTGCTGCCCCAGCAGGAGCAGTATTTTGACAGGTCGATACCCTCACAATCACGAGGTGAGAAACAACTCCCTCAACGGGAACTGCTCCAGCCTTCAGTGGCAGAAAGGCCCCGAGGCAGAGGCCTTCCCCACCTACCTCAACAAACTGAAATACCAGACATTCTTTTCTGGGAAATATCTTAACCAGGTTTGTACATGTATATACTTTTATAAGCATTATACACGTCCAAATGCTTCCAAACTTCAAAACACACAGGCAGTACAATGAATACACCGTGCTTATGACTGATTTTTTTCTGTTCTAAATGTTGAAATATTGTTGGGAGCCCAACAGTGTTTGTGTTGTGTTTTCATTTTATTCACTCACGTATTTGGCAGAGACTGTGACATATCACAGTCAGCAGATACAGCTAATGGAGATACACACGTCCCACAAGGTGACTCAGCAGTGATCGCTGACTCATTACAAAACAGTATTCTGCAGGACTGTCAGTATGAAGCCCTGAAGATGCTTGCTACATCATTTCTCTTGAAGCCGACTGAGCTAACTGTACCTTCTACTTTCAGTATGGTAGCAAAGCAGCAGGAAGTGTTGGCCATATTCCACCTGGCTGGGACCAGTGGCATGCACTGGTGAGTCACAAGTAACATGTACATGCACAATTTCTCCTAAGTACTTCTGTCATGACACCTTTTGCTGCACTTACAGGTGGGAAACTCTCAGTACTACAACTACACTCTGTCAGTCAATGGGAAAGAAGAAAAGCACGGTGACAGTTACGAGGACGACTACCTCACAGACCTCATAGTGAGTAGTAATCAGACCCTCAGATTTGAAGTGGAGGGAGTTCATTACGTGGTTTATGTGGTTCATTTATCTTTGGTGGTTGATTTACCTGACTCTTATTTTGAGCATTCAATGCTTTCCAGCTAGGTGCTGTCCTTGACATCATGTGTGATATTACTTGATATCATTCAGCCGTCTTGAGTCTCTTGTCATTGGAGACCTTGTTTTGTCCAGAGATTATCTTTGAGCTGGAGGACATGGAGCAGACTGAGATCTGCCTTGATCTCGCCTTGAGGTGACTTTTGTTGTGATTTGGCGCTATATAAATAAAATTGAATTGAATTGAATCTGTTGCCTCATACTTCAGCTGGCTTTGCTGTGCTGAACATGAAGCTGATTGCATTTTAATTAGTGTCATAATGTACTTATGGAATAGTTTAAGGAAGTGTGGATAGCTCCCTACTTTACAACAATTATATGGTGGTGAATTTTGGTGGAACTTCTAAGTATTGGCAGTAGGGTCATGGTTGCTTTAACAACTTGTTGGCTATAGCTGCCAGCCATCAGCTCAGCTTCACATATACTGATTCATGTCACTAAACTGGACCTCATTTTTAATTAAATTATCTGAAAATAATATGAACTGCTGTCTGGTAAAGACTATCCAAGACGTTTTGGTGGCTGAAATTCTAATATTTTATTACTGATACTTTGCAAAAATGAGCAGGTATGCCTCTGTGCGGTTTGTTGAAGTCATTGGTGGCTGGTGCCTGTGTGGGGGTTTTTTTTTAATTTTATTTATTATATGGTGAACACACATGCTTGTGCATGCACATGGATATGCTTTCTATTTATTACTGCCACACTGTGGAAATGTGGCAGTAACAGTATGTGGGAAATATTGTGTGTTTTGGGACATTTGAGGGTGAATTTACAAAAGAGGGTATGGTTGTTCACCTCTGCAGTCAGTCAGCTGCTGGCATAGAAACATAAAATGTGGTGTTTTTCTGCCAGTCAGCATTGTGACAGGTTAATCATCAGCTAATGCAGTAGCTGGCGATAAAAGGGTTGCAAGAAAGAAGCTAATATTAGAAAGGGCTATTTAGTTTCTGTGGGACGCATTACATTACAGTCAAGTTTTGGTGAAAATGTTTGGTTTCTTTGTGTTTATATTTAAGGTTTAAATTTCACGCACTTGCTGCTTATCAGGTGACTCAAAGAATTTGTTTATCTTACTCTAGATTTAGTTTATGAGAGCTGAATGATCTTTGTCACATGTGCTGTTGTCATGATTGCTTGCAACAAAGAATAACGGTGGAGAGAAAGAATTGGTCCAAGGTGTGGCTTCATTTCATGAAGAAAGATGATAGTAGTCCTAGTTTTAATGTCTGTAAGCCATCAAGGCAGGTTCGAAATGTCAGTGATTTGCTGACACATTCATCCACACAACAGGGAAAAGCTGAGATTCAGCATGAGAACTTCTGTTTTCCAATCAAGTTTCATGTCTGTGACCGAACATAAATAGCTCTTATTATAAAAATACTCCCACATAGATAGGCTTGGTGTCTGTTTTTTTCTTTATAAAATTCTATTCTGTAAAACAGGGAGGGAGCATTTTTTTAGCCTTGCTAACCACCGCTGCCCCACTGGCTAGTAAGCTGACATGTGAGTGATATTTGACATTCAGCTTTTGTTGATGTGTTACATCAGTTTTGTGCTTCTGTTTAAAGATGATGAGATGGAAGTCTTGAAAACAGTTTTCTTTTATGACACAAAAGGGAAAACGTAAATGAAACTTAATTAACAGGAAAAGATGTCATTGAAATTGACTGTTATCCTTGAATTTTACAGTTTGTCCATATTTTATATGGTTAACAAAATAAGTAATTTGCACCCTTTAGTCATTTGAATTTTTGCAAACCCTTGCTGGTTAATATTTCACTTTCATTTTGACTCGAAGTTGGTTCTGTTGTGCAGCTGCTGTCCCACTGGCCAAAGAAAGCAGTAGTTTATGTGTATATATGGGCTCTCATACTAACTGATCTATAAATCTTAAACTTAGATGGCAAAAACCAAAAACTAAAATCAAAATTACATTTCAAATTGGGGAAAAAGAGAGTAACAGCCTAGAACGGTCCACTGTGGCTTTTGACCAACTGTATTTTTACATCCCTGGGTGATAATGACTTTCAGATGGCACTTTTGTAGCTTACATCATACATTTATACAGTTGGTGTTCATTTCTTTACAAGTCTGCTTGTTTTTGCCTAAGCTTTTAAAGAAATGTAAGTTTTGCAGCAGTCATGTAATAAGTCTGTGCCTGTTTGTCAATCCAGCTGAACCGGTCTCTTCACTTCCTGGATGACAGGAGCCCTCAACATCCGTTCTTCCTGATGCTGTCCCCTCCAGCTTGTCACTCCCCCTGGACTGCAGCGCCTCAGTACCAGAAAGAGTTCAAGGATGTCCAGGCCCCTCGAGATGGCAGCTTTAACAAGCCAGGGAAGGTATGCCTTTTCAAGAATGTTATGCTATGTGTCTGGTGAAGTCCAGTTTTAATCATTTAAGGCGACTGGCAAGAGTAAAATCTTTTTTTTCGAGGCAGCACCTTGAAACAGTGATCCATGCTTTTATTTCTTCCCGCCTGGACTACTGTAACTCACTTTATGTGGGGGTCAGTCAGTCGTTGCTCTCACGTCTGCAGCTGGTTCAAAATGCGGCTGCACGACTCCTAACAGGAACTCGAAAAAGAGAGCATATAACCCCCGTGCTGGCCTCTCTGCACTGGCTGCCTGTGTCTTTTAGAGTTAATTTTAAAATTCTTATGTTTGTTTTTAAATGCCTTCACAGTCTTGCCCGGCCTTACCTCTCTGAGCTTCTTCATCCCCACATACCCTGTCGGTCTCTCAGGTCAGCTGACCAGCTGCTCCTGGAGGTACCGAGATCCAGGAGGAAGCTCAGAGGGGACGGGGCCTTCTCTATTGTGGCTCCAAAATTATGGAATAATTTGCCCATGCATGTTAGAGAGGCCCCTTCACTGTCCACTTTTAAATCACGTCTTAAAACCCACTTTTATTCCTTGGCTTTTAAACTCAGTGAGACTTAGTTTCTCTTTTAATTGAAGTAGTTATTTAATTAATGATTTCACTCTTCTTTTATTTGTTTTTTATTTATATCTCATGTAATTTTATTTTACAGTTCCAATGTACAGCACTTTGTGTCAGCTGTGGTTGTTTTAAAGTGCTTTATAAATAAAGTTGATGATGATGGTGGTTTTTAATTTTGTTTCTAATGAATCTTTTATTTTTGTGAATGCTTTAGGATAAACACTGGCTGCTGCGCCAACCTCCTAATCCGATGCCAAACAGCTCAATCACTTTCCTGGATAATGCATACAGGAAAAGGTACAATTGTTAAGCGTACGTCTCTTTTTGCATGAAAGCGCATAGTTCGTAGAAGACAAAGTCAGAATAGTGTCACCACTGTCAAACAAGAAAATGTAAAAAAAAAATGGTAAAACTAGTTTTGTTTTTGTTTATTTTCTTCTGTCTTCCTCCTCCCCTCACCGCAGCCTTGTTCTGCCAGAGGTTTCTTCCTGTTAAAAGGGAGTTTTTCCTTTCCACTGTTGCCAAAGTGCTTGTTCATAGAGGATCATCTGATTGTTAGGGTTTTCTCTCTGTTTCCTTTGCATTAGTGTAGAGTCTGTACCTTACAATATAAAGCACCTTGAGGCAAGCGTTGTTGTAATTTGACACAGAATTGAATCGAATTGTAGTTTTAACCTCATGAGCCAGCAGGGATAAAGCATTAATATATTTTAGCTGTTAGAATTCTGGAAATCACTCTTTGCTGCATCCTCTGATTTACAAAGTTTTTTTTTTTTTTTTTTTTTTTTTTGTTTTTTTTAATCAATTATTTATTCAACTACCTCAGTTTTCTGCATGATGCTTTTGAATTTTATGGTATTGTATTTTTAAAAATATGGAAAGGATCCTGTGATCATCCTCCCTATTTGTCTTCATTGGGGTTGTTGAGGTCAACACCAGAGCTTTTTTTTTTTTTTTTTTTTTTTTTTTTTTTTTTTCCCCATAGATAAGAAATATTAGAAATTGACTTAGGAAGGACAAAGCCTTTCTTGAAACTGAAGTAAAATAGAAGAAATTAGAATGGGTACTCATTGTTTGGTCCTTTTTGGTCTGAAATTACATAACAAATAAACAATTAATTTTAATTGCTTGAAAAAAAATTGTAAATGACTAAAAGTTATGAATAAAATTTGTTCCAATGGGTTCAGGAAAGCAAAATTCCACACTTGCAAACAACTGGAGATATTAAACCAGTCTAAACAATTTAGAAAACAAAATCCCTGAATCATAGGAGTAATTGCAGTTATCTGCAGTTCCTCAGTGGTAAAATCAGTATTTGTGTTCAGTCTGACATATTAAAGCCTATGTCTGCACTTTAACTGCATCTTTATTGATTTCTTTAAAATCCATTTTGTTTGTGTATAGATCCAAAATTATGAAAATCATATCAACATCCAAAGATTTCTCCACCTAGCATGTACATCCAAAAACTTCTGATGTCTCTGGCAGGTGGCAGACCCTGTTATCTGTGGATGACATGGTGGAGAAGCTAGTGAAGAAACTTGACAGTATAAAGGAGCTAAACAACACCTACATCTTCTACACTTCAGATAACGGCTACCACACAGGTCTGTTTTTGATAAACTCCTCCATTTAATCTTCGATTAGTTCATGCTCTGTACCTTCTGTCTGTGTCATCTTGAGCTGGATGTATACTGCTGGGTTACAGAAGACAGTTTAATTTTTAATTTTTAGCCCCCTGGCTGCATTGCATAAATGCAAGTCACCAAAACATTTTAAGTTACTTTTAGGTCCTTTTTTATGGTTTGTTTTCTTCAAGAAATACCATGGGTAATAGAAAATAATTCAATTTAATTCAATTCAGTCTATTGATATAGCCCCAAATTACAACAGCAGTCACTTCAAAGTGATTGCTGGGTGAAGGTCCTACAATAATACAGAGAAAACCAGAACAAAAGAACAACACCCTGTTGGCAATGTTGGCAAAGGAAGAACTCAGGAAAAAACTTCAGGCAGAACCAGGCTTAGGGAGGGGCATCCATCTACCACAACCAGTTGGGGGTAAGGGGAGTGAGACAGGGAAAAAGACACACCGTGGAAGTAAACCAGAGATTAATAGTAATTGATGACTAAGTGCAGAGTGATGTATTAAAATATAGTGAGTTAAGAAGAAATGAGGGAAAATTCAGGTCAACTGATCCATCCCTAACTAAATGCTTTATCAAAAGTCCCTCTCCCTCTTAAAGAGGGTGTGTGTTTCCTAAATCCAAGGTGGGAGCTGATTCCACTGGAGAGAGGCACGAAAACTGAGGCTCTGTCTCCGTTCTACTTTTAAAAAAAAAATGATAGGAACCACGAAAACCAGCAGTCTGAGAGTGAAGTGCTCTATTGAGGTGATATGGTACTATGAGGTCTTTAAGATGGGCCCTGATTATTCAACATCTTGTATGTGAGGAGAAGGATTTTAAAATTGAGTCTGGATATAACGGGGAGTCAATAAAGAGAAGCCAGTACAGGAAAAATAAATCTCTTACTGTAAAGACACCATCCAACTCCAGATCATTGTCATGTACATGCGCTTCTAATAATGCTGAGAGATTTGTGTTAAAAAAAAACAAAAAAAACAGAATCTGAGGCACTCTGCTGAACATATGTAATTGCAACATTTCTGTATCTTTTATGTTTAAAAAAGAAAAAATCTTCAGATTGGTTTGTCTTATATGAATGATAAATATAATAAACCCATATTGACCAATGACTGACCTGTCTGTATGGGATTAGTTCAGTAATAAAAATGTGCAAAAACTACAAAAACCTGTAAATAAACAGTAATGACAGCAACAAATAATCACCCAACTGAATGAAATAATTATTTTAAACCATCTGATGTTGTTTTAAAAGCAATAGCGGGTAAATTGTTTGTTACAGGTTACATTTGTGTTCCCCAGTCTGACCTGAGAGCTTATAGGTATTTGCACAGTCACCTGCCAGTTTACTGTGTACACCTTTCTTTGCATTGAAACCCCTTTTAACTGCAGTACTGCCCTAATTATTTATGGCCTAGATTCAACGAGATGCTGGAAACATTTCTCACAGTTTGCTCCATACTGACACGATTGTATCATACAATTGCTGCAGATTTTCATTCACAATGCAAATCCTCTATTCCACCACATCCCAAAGGCACTCAATTATGTGGCGAATGGAGGGCATCTGAATACACTGAACCCATTGTCTGTAAACCAGTTTGAGATGATTGAGCTTCGTGTAGATCAGCAGTATCTCAAATACTCAGACCAGTCCATCTGTCACCAACAACCATGCCACGTTCAAAGTCACAGAAATCACCTTTCATCCTCATTCTGATGCCTTGAGTTGCTGCCTAGTGATTGATTAGATCTAGGTGTAATCAGCTGTACTTGCTGTTCCAGGTCAGTTCTCGCTGCCCATTGATAAGAGGCAGCTCTATGAATTTGACATCAGGATTCCGCTAATGGTCCGCGGTCCTGGCATAAAAGCCAAGCAGGTGCTGCAGGTCAGAACAATACTCCACTAAAACACACACTCCAGCTGCTTAAAAGCATATTAATGTCTCTGGAACTGTTTTTTGTTTTTTACCTTTTTTTTCCCCCTCATGTCTTTTTTTCTTCCAGGCTCCAGTACTGAATATAGACCTGGCTCCCACCATACTGGACATAGCTGGAGTCAATCTGTCGTCTGTGAATGTGGACGGGCAGTCTTTCCTCGCTCAGATGGTCAGCTGCTTCTTTACATTGACTCTCACTTATTTTTCCCTCATGCTAAATCTTAACCCAAATTTTATCTTAGGCTCCTTCATTGCGTAATGGCACTGCACGACCATACTTCCTTGTTGAGTACACTGGAGAAGGACAGCCAACGTCAGACCCTACTTGCCCTAAATTAGGTCCAGGAGTATCTGTGAGTACCTACAAAAGCAGGCTTCCTATTCTGGTCACCACTGAATGTAACATGCTTCCAGTTTCCAGTAATATTATAATCTCTGATTGGAAAAAGGGGGAAAAAAAGTTATTTAAAATAATTCCTTTTTTCTCTTCAGTGTCAAAGTATTATGATACCAAAAAAGGGAGCTGAATACAGTAGAAGTATTTTCTCAGCCTTTCCACTGTTTTCCTCTTTGCTTTTTTGATAATGCACTGAGGGAAGACTGGATGCTACTCACTACTTGACTTATAATAGAAACTAAACTATAGCCTGGCTCTATTGAGCTTCATGATGTCAGTACACAGTAACTGAAGTCAGTTAATTGTTCAGATTCTATTAATGGCTTGAGTTAATGGTGCAAATTTGTAAGGAAATTTCCAATAAGTGCCTTTTAATAGCAAATTCAGAATAGATGGCAATTTTCCTAATTGGAAACAACTGTGGACTAAAGCCTAAAAATAGGGTTCATGTTGCCACAAAACATATTGCTCCTGCCGATTCTGAAAGTTTGTTGCTCTGTTCCCAAGAAACCTTCACTGTAACATTTTTCACTGTCTTTAGCAATGTTTCCCAGACTGTGTTTGTGAAGACGCCTACAACAACACGTACGCCTGTGTCAGAACTCTGGACAGCAAAATGAACATGCAGTACTGTGAATTTGCAGACAGTGAGGTACTCCCGGGACTTTTTTGTGTGGGGGTTTTGTTTTTTGGACACATTTTAGTGAAAGTAGATGTGAAGCTTCTCAGTGTTTTGTTTTGTTTTTTTTACCCCCCAAGTCGTATGTAGAAGTCTATAACCTGACGTCGGACCCGCATCAGCTGGAGAACATCGTGAAGAAGGTGGATCCCTCCATCCTGCAGATCATGAACCAGCGGCTCATAAAGCTCCAGTCCTGCATGAGTGACAGCTGCCGGGATTACAAGCAAAAATAAGACCGCCAAAGAAGCTGCCAAACGATGACCACACCAAAGTCTGAAAGGAGGGTGGGATCAGTCTGTCCAAATTTTTACATATATGAGATGAGATTCTGACAGGAAAAAAAAAACATGGTTGACAAATACAGTGACTGGTGGCTGTATTCCACTTAACTGTGTCAGTTTCAGGGGCCCAGAGTCATTACTTTCTTTGGAAATTTGCTCTTTTGATGACAGGGACACAAATTATGCAACTTGTTTATATATACAGATATATATGAAGCCACCACTAGAAGTTTGGTTAGCTTAGCCTGTATTTGGGGGAAGACAGCTTGCCTGCGTGCAATGATAACGCAATCAACATTTCGTACTATCTACCAGTAAATAGAGATGGATTGACATATCTGGTAAACACTGATATCAGCCAGTATCGACCTTGTTGATTGTTATCAGCGTGTGCACGCATTTGCACTAAATGTTCAAACATTTAAAAATCTAAAAGACTTGTCAATTTTTTTTATATGATGTCGATAAAAGCAAGAAAAAAGACAACAAAGTAAACCTTACCCAATCGTTATCAGATATCGGTCAAAATGTTGGATTAAACATCAGTACTGGAAAAGGGTTCACAGTTGGTGTATTATCAGTGTACTTTTCCTTTTAAGAGTCAAAATTTCTGCCGTCTTTCTGAGCCACACTCGTCTAGCTTCTCTTGTAAGTTTACTTTTGTTTTTCAAAGGTGCTACATGTAAGCTCAGTGTTATGGCATTCCTCTACCTCTCCATCAAGTCTCTGCAGTGAAATGGTAGACCTTATTCTGCACTCTTGGTGATCTGTTGGAAGTTGGAGGAACATCCTTACCAAAATTGGCAGCTGGTGGAGAACTGGCTCATCTACTGCTATGCCAGGCTCACCAAGACTGCAGAGTGCAAGGACTAAGTCCAGGTTTTGGAGGGACTCAGTGGCCAGTCTTCAATTTGAAAAACGTTAGATGGGAAAGAGTTAGCTGCTTAGCAGTGTCTGAAATTCCCATATAAAATACTTGCGTAAAGCACCTCTAAGATAACCTGCTTTCCCCATGCTGTCATGTGTTTGTGTATAAACTGCAATTTTCAGGCATAGTCAGTGTCTTCTGAACATTTCACCATTCTCGGAAACACAAAATGTTTGATTCTTCTTCTTACTTTGATTGTGAGCAGTTAAGAGAAAGGTTTACTGCTACACTGAAACTGTGACTCATCATCATCGTCTTTGAAGAGTTGGTTTAACATTCTAGGGTTTCATTTAAATGCTTTCCATGAGTTGGATGAAGGGATTAATATGACTTAACTTTTTTTTTTCATTCAGTATAAACATACCACCAATTATTAGTTAGCCAGCACAGAAAATTTAAGCAACTGCATGTAAGTAGGTTTACACATGGTTATGCTAATCTGACCAAACCAAAAGCTGCTTCTAACTGTATAATGTGGAGATGTATTGTGTCAATATTCTTTTTTGTTTTTGTTCATTTTGCTTTTTTTTTTTTTGCTTTTTTTTTTTTTTTTTGTGGCAAAAGCTTAGTTTCCATAAAAGATCTTTGTACTCTCAAAACTATCTCTGCAACCCTTTCAATGAAAGACAACAAAGTCTGAAATGTTCACCATGTCCTGTATCTAGTATAACAGTTTATTTTCAGTATTGTGCCTCAGATTTGAAGAAGGAACTCGGCTTTTAAAAAACTGAACTCTTTATTACTAAGAGCCTTTTTTTAATTGGTAGCAGGAACACATGCTGATATTTTTCATATGTTTTCTTATTGCAAGGAATATATTAAGGGAACTTTTGCACAGTGATGTTTAAGATGAACACTTTAATCCTGTCAGCCATATGTTCGCACTGATTTGGTGCATGTGCCTTTAAAATGTGAACAAATCTGCACTGTGATGAAACTGATTAAATTAAATGAAACATTTAAATGCACTTTTTTGTAGGTTTCCTTCTTAATGTGACGTTGTAGTGGGTTCAAGTCAATTTCCTTGGGGGGGAGTGTACATTTTATAGTTGGCCTAGGTGGGCAGCTTTAATTCCCCTCCAAGATTATCAGGTAATTCCTAAAACCTGACAAAGTGTTTTGATCAGCTCGTCAAAGGTGTGTCAGGTAGAGTTACCTGTTCTTACACCAAGATTGACATTTGGCATAACTGAGCTCTGATTCTTTTCTTAGCCTGGCTACAGAGCTGAAAAGAAACCTGGGGCTATTCTCCCTTTACTTATGTTAGTTTCCTTTATCACTGATGAATAGTAAGATGTCTTAGTTTTGCAGAGGACTTTTTAAAAAGACTTTAACATTACACCTTAAATGCACATTTGTGAGTTATACAACTCAGTCAAGCATCTCTGATGCGTTGCCTTCTTTCACACAGTGAAGATGGAACACCATTAGCAAGATAATCAACCTTTGAGATTTAAGTTCAGGTAGTGTTGTGTTAGCATGTGGCTTTGGAGATCATAATAGAAGAGGAATCAATTAAAGACTCTGGATTGAAAACTGAGACATGTTTCTAAAGACTGTAGTCTAAAACAAGACAACCACTAGAACCCTGCAGAGGACTGGACTATGAAGCTGCAGACCAAGAAAAACTTCACCACAGAGGAGACATCGTGAAGCCAGATGGAAGTATGCCAAATACAAACTGAGAAATATTATACATACTGGAAGCACATCCTTTGGTCAGATGAGAAAAAACTAGAGCTCTGACCTATTTTTTTGTTTTTTGTGAAATAATTTTGTTTCTGTATGCAAAGTAAAATAATTTAATCATCTGAAGAAGAAAAAAAAAAAGGTCAGATCGTCTGCCAACATCACATTCCACAGAGGCTCCTGCCTGACCTCATCTGTCAACCTGTCATTCAGCATTGCAAACATGAAGGGACTCAGAGCCATCCCTGATATCTCTGTCATCTCACCCTGACTATGAACCCCTCTGTCACTCCTACTCCACACCTCATCTAACGAGCTTGAAAAGAAAGCAAAAAATGCAACATCATTCTTTAAAAAGATATGGATGGATGGGGGCTTTTCCATTGCTGAAAAAAACCCCACTCAGGGTAGAAATGTTTCTTCATAGGATAAAGGTGATCAGATCCACACTCTCCTTTAAAAGGAGAGGTGAATCCAAATCACGACAACAAAATTGCCACACAGCATCCAGGAGCTCTGGATCTTCTTCCGGGAGGGGTTAGAGGTTCAAGTATTTCTTTTGTCACCTGTCTGTAAATCTGCTGATGACACAGTGTTTGATGTGTTTTCACATTTTAAATACTCATATGTGCAGTTATGTCAATTTCCTTTGCAAACCAGCACTATAAAGTATCTCTTAGAATTCAAGGTTTTGATCATTTATTTAACTTCAGGAACAAAAGTTGATGAGCATTTTGTAGAAAATGCAACAGGTTTCACCAGCTAATTTTATAACAACAGTGATCTCCTCTCTCCTAACTTAAAATCCTTTTGAGGACATAAATAAAACAAATATTTGAAATCTGCTCATTCATTTTTCAAAAATCAAAAAGGTAGAAACTGGTAGCACATCTACTATCTACAGAGAAAATGGTAACGGACAGTTTAATCAGAGGTACTTGTACACAATCTTATCCTGCAGGGTCTGAATCTCTAACTTGACAGGGCATTTGTAAAAGTGTGACAGCAGTGACTCTGTATAGCCAATCAGGAAGTAAAACTTCTGTGGTGGTAACTTCTGTAGCATCACTGCGCACACATTCAGCAAATTGCCACGCCTTTTGATGACAATCTCATTGGCCAGGCACCCGTGGAACGTCCCAAACATGAACCTCCGAATGAAGACATCTTCTACAGTGCGTTCAGCTGCCCCATCCTCTCCTTTGAGGTTACCTATCAGCAAGAGAGAAAAAAAACTGGAGCTGTCGTGAAAGATTAAGAGGAATTTGGACTGAATTACACATTAGCTGCGGCTGATGGACAAAGATGTGCAAACGAAAAGATCACTGCCTCTTCAGCAAAATATTTATTAATAAGGCTCACAGTCACATTAGACAACATAAATCTTATTTTAAGTTTCTTTACCATGTTTAATATTATGTTTAGAGATATAGTTGAAAAGTTTAATATTTATCTTTAGGTCTTAATTTTGCTTAAATTATGCATTTTCTGTAATAAACTGCAAACACCATATGGAGACACTGAAAAGTATCAAAAGACAGAGCAGCGTTTGATGAAGTCTAAAAAGATTATAAAATGAAACCACTAGTTGCTGCTGTCTGGCTGTGGAGAGCACAATCATCATGACTCTATAAATTGTTCCCGACAGAAACAAGTGCACTGACGTGCAGCAGATAAAAGCTGTGTGCTCGGCCTCACTTCAATAATCTGAGACACTGAACTGGACCTGTCCTGTTCGTGCTGCAGTTTTGATGAGTGAAATTCTATTATTTTATTGCTCTGTTGTTTAGCATGTGTATGGTAATTAACAGACTAATACAATAAATTCTGGTTCCAAAAAGCCAACTGGGCTGCAAGCAAAATACTAACAGGGAGGCTTCAAAATGCACAGTGTAGAACCAACAGGTGATGTCACAGCGGCTACATCCATTGGTTTGCTTTATAGACCATCAAGTCAAAAAGAGTTTTGATAAGTCAAAAATCAGCTGTCTCTCCAGCAAGTCTCTCATCTCATGGTCAGACAGACCCAAACCTCATAGTTTGAGAACAGTTAGAGATGGTGGTTCTCGTTCTTCTACGCAGCCTAATCAGTTCTCCACTTGCTGCAAATTCTAGTTCAAGCTTCCAGCAAATCTCCACAGAAGAACAAGGACTGCTGATCTCCCCATTGTATCCAACTGCAGGATGAGAGACTAACTGGAGAGCCTCAGCAGTGGGTGAAGCACTGGGTCTTGCCAGCTTTTCTCTTTGAAGGTGCTTGATTGCTGTGGTTCTCTTGAACAGATAAAAATATTTAATCAAATGCTAAAATGAGTTTCGACTTGGAAAATGTGTTGGACACACTTTGAAAACATGGAAATGTTTCCCAGTATCAGTGTGTGGATGGCCTGTGCACAACACTTTAAGTCTGTGGCACAGGAGCATTCAAGCTAAAGTGCATAGTTTGGTTGGACTCAGTGATGATTGGTATGTTGTCTGAGAGCTATCCGCACCAATGACTGCTTCCATAAAAAGCACTGAGTTAACTAATTCATGACCAAACATGTGAGAGGACAGTGTGCATAAAATCAAATGTGCCTAGCGAGAGCATATTCTCAATCTCAGTCATGCTTACTGGTGTGCTGTGACAGCCATCCTTTGCGGTGGCCAATGTGGTGAGGATGATGCGCTTGCTCATAGGTCACAGGTTTGTCTCCTTTCCCTACTCGGATACGAGCGGCTCGATTCTGTAAAAGAGAAAGACAAAAGAGCACATCTTGGGTATATTTGGAGAAAACACTATCAGACCCATTGAAAGTTAATCATCTATAACAACCTAACAGCCTTTGTAAAAGCAACAAAAAACCTCAAATTACTTTTTTTTTAAAATGGTTGTGACCTCTGAACCACTCTGACTGTGGCTCCGGTAAAGTATCAGAATACTGTGAAAGTTAAAAAGATAAACACTATGTTAAACAGTTAGTGTTGCTGATACAACAGCCCTGAGAGGGTCACGGCCGCTTACCTTGCAGCACGACACAGTAACATGGAGGCCCCTGCTTCCAGAGAAGCTGCACAATGAGCTGGACCAAGCTAAGGCGCTCTGCAAAACAGGTAATGTGGTGAGAGTGAAAACCAGTGAGTAAATATTGAATTGATGGTCAGAAATCATTTCAAAAGCAAAACGGTACATCTGGCTTCTCCCTTATTTCCCCAATGGGGATGTCAAAGCATGTGGCTCAGCATGTTTGACTTAGCAAAGATAAGCTGGAAGTCCTTGCTGATGCAACACTCCTACTTAGCAGGAAGAGGTGTTGGGCAAGACAAGGCTTTGTAAAACACTGAAATGTCTGAAGCAATTGTGCTTGAATTGTAATACCTACTGACCACTCTGGCAGTCATTACATCTGCTAATGCTAGTCTGTGAAACAATCATGCATGCTAGCATTGGACAAACAAGAATACTTATTAAAACTAATAACTTATTACTACAAATAATTATAAGCAAGACATCTTTTGGAGTATTATCCGTACAAACATTAATATTTGGATCATGACAGCAAGCTGTGACTGTAGTGAACAGTGGGTTTCAGCGAATTTTATTTTCTTCCTGTGTTAACATGCAGAGGCTGTTTCAGTTGCTTAATAATGTAGCGCAAAATATTTCAAACCAAGTTAAGAAAGGAAAATACAAGGAATGGAGATTTTCACTCAGGCCCTCAGGTCTAACATCAGTGTCTGATCTCATTAATGCTCTTCTTGATAAATGGACAATTATTTCCACAGACAGCCTCCTAAGTCTTGTAGGAAGCTGATTTTGCTGCAGAGGTGGAGCAACTCCCCACTAATGCTTATGGATTTAGCGTGGGATATCATGGAAGCTCCTGTGGGTGTAATGTGCAGGTGGCAAAACACTTTTGTCCATATAATGCATCTCTGCAACACAGTGCACAGATGTCTTGGACATAGTGTCAGAGATGTTGTATCGTTAAATCACAGCTAGTCTAAACTGTCTTGTGAATCATTCCTATTGCAAATTGTTTTAAAGTTGTGTAGTAACGAGTTGTTAAAAGGTATTTGTCGACATCTTAGTTGCCGTTCTTAGTATTCATAATACAGTTTCAGATATTTTGATAAGGCAAAAGGCTGTTATAGATGTTTCCATGTTTGATAATTCAGGTTCGTAGTGCCACAAACAAACACGTTTGGTTTCTGTGGTCATACAACGCAGTAGTAACAAAGTGACACAAACGTTTGTTACATGTCTGAAATTTTTGCTATTTATCATAGAAACCTAGGCAGCCAAGAGCAAGTTAGCTAACCCCTAGCTTAAAATTGTTTATATATATAAAGCCTTACCAAACGTAGCGCTAAATTAATGGGTGCACGCCGATACACGGTCAACAAGACTTCATGGAAATTAAGTAAATGTTACGGTTTAAAATGACTTTCTTACCAGCACCCTCACGTTTCCTATGCTGCTCAAGGACGCCGCCATGTTTTATTCAAATAATTAACTCGTGGTACTAAACTACAACACAGCAGTCACTCTGTTTATTACTGTATAAATAGCCGAAGGTTTACGAAAGCTCGGTAATAATTATAACACGTAAAAATAACAAAATTAACGTTTCTATACTGAACTTGAGCTGTATACTGGAACTGTTTTTTCCACAGGCAGTTTCCACAAGTTTCCACCGGACAACTATTAACCTGAACCAACCGGAAAGAGGGAAAATAAAAGTTTTAAGTTAAAGATGAGTGATATTTTAGAATCAGAATCAGAATCTTTATTGACATTGAACGAAAATTGTATGCAAACACACAGTTTAATTTACAGTTTAATTGCAAAGTTTTTCCTCACAACATGTTCTCGTACGAATTGTTTTTAAAGCAAGTTAAAATTCCTATTTTTAACAGATGCATTTTAAAATATAAATTTTGTTACCTAATACGTACTCTTTAGTTTTTTTTTTAATTTAACCATAGTCGTTATTTTAATTATTAATGATTAATTTGCTTTAAACATTAATATTATTATTGTGTATAATATGCATTAGTACAAAAACTTTTCTCGCATACTTGAGTAATTTTATAGTTATTATTATGTTTCTGTTATGTATTAACTGTGCTTTATTTAAAAAGAGATTCTTTGAAACCATATACCCTATTTGAAAACATATGTCACTTTTCTTGCGATTATTTGTGTTCGTTTATACTTCTACTTTATTTGTAGTGGGTCCACACTGCAGTGGTTCGCCTAACAAGTGAAGGTAAGTCTAAAGTTGCTTAGCCTATCTGTGCTATTAAAGAATAAATACATAAATATAAGTCAAGAACTGAAAAGGGGGGGGGGTCCTAAATGCGTGATTGTTTCAATTTATATGTATTAAAAAAATAAATAAATACACAAAAACACTACAAATAGCCATAGCTTGTGGTTTTGTTTTGATACCCGGTATCCGATATTTGTCAAAGACTGCACACTTATTTTGAAAACGTTGCACCGGAAGTATTTGTATTGTTCTGGAAAGAGGAAAGTAGTTGCTAAGTAGCGTTATCCTACTCGTCCCACTTGTTTCTTGGCAAACTGTCATTATTTTGGTGGGATAAGTATTGGCTGGAATCATTTGAAGACTTGTTGAGAGGAATAAAGATTGAAAGCTGCGATGGCGTCGCCGCTGGAGATGACAGAGATGTACGATAATGCTCTTCTGGGGATCCTGCAGCATGTTGGGAACATTCAGGACTTTCTGCAGGTCTATTTTGGGTTCTTGTACCGCAAGACGGACTTTTATCGCCTGCTGTCGAGTCCCAATGATAAGATGGGTTTCCCTCCAGGTGTGGCAGAGAAGATGGTGCTTAAGGTGAAATTTCTCAACATTTTAACCTGCTAAATGTAAATACCTTGGCAACACACATGACTAAGTGTACAGTTTATGCACATGCATATTATTTACAATTACAGGTTAAAAATGAAGCTGTTATAATGTTACGTACACTTTTGTGGTCCTCGAGTTTTTTACACTGCAGTGATTCGTCGATGAATTAACACCTACATAATACAAAATAACTCCTGTGCTTGGTGATAGCCTTGCTGTCTATATGAGCCACAGACCTATAGCAATACATTTGTTATTGTCCTAAGACTGGTGAAGGTTATATCCTAATCTAGAGTTGTCTGCCTCTCAAATGATGATAAGCGATAACCTTTAAATCTTTCCTCAGACATATAAGTCATTCGAGAAGCTGGCGGAGCACGACAGAGAGAGAGCAGTGAGCAATCTGAAGAAGAGAGAGGAGACTAGGTATGTTCCTCCTGCAGTTCAGGAGCTGGAGGTTGCCTCTGAGCCTTGTGATGAAACCAAGCAGCAGAGTACAGAGGCGGTGCAGATGGAGAACTCCCCCTCACGTTCTGGGGATGTTTCAGCTCCAGCAGCCTCAGGCACATCCATCTGCTCTCAGCAGGATAGCAGCAGCAGTCCAGCAATTTGTGGAGATCAGGCAGCTGCAGCCAACTCGAAATCCAAAGCAGGGTGAGTAGCTACTAGCGTTTTTTAACCTTTGAAGCATCTGTTGTTTTAAATATGGTCCAACATAAACATTACTCTGCACATTATAGTGTTTCAGTAAATGCACTTGTCAAGGTCAATTTTAGGCCTTAAAATGACTTTGTGACAGGATGCAGACTTTGGTGAAGGTTAGTTGCAGCGCTAACGCAGAGAGACAGACAACCACTGCACTAACATTCACACCTAAAGGCAATTTAGAATCACTAGTTAACCTAACCCTGCCCCTGTCTCTGGGCTGTGGGAGGAAGCCAGAGTACCTGGAGAGAACCCAGGCAGAAAGGGGAGAACATGGAAAATATTTATATTTATAAACTAAGACAGAAAATGTTCACTGCTAACCAACTTAGTTCTGCTGTACTTTGCTGTACTATATTGCCAGAAGTATTCACTCACCCATCTAAATAATTGAATTCAGGTACTCCAATCGCTTCCATGGCGACCAGTGTATAAAGTTAAGCACCTATGCATGCAGACTGCTTCTACAAACATTTAGGAGCTCAGTGAATTCCAGCATGGTTCCATGATAGGATGTCTCCTCTTCAACAAGTCCAGTTGTGAATTTTCATCCCTACTAAATATTCCACTGTCAACTGTTAGTGATATTATAACAAAGTGGAAGCAATTGGAAATGACAGTAACTCAGCCACAAAGTGGTAGGCCATGTAAAATCACAGGAACAGGGATCAGCAGATGCTGAGGTGCATAGTGTGCTGAGGTGGAGTCAATCGCTGCAGAACTCGAAACTTTACGTGACCTTCAGTTTAGCTCAAGAACAGTGCATAAACACACTCCTAAATCTTGTGTTATAGCTGCAAAGGATGGACCAATATCATACTCATACATATGAAGGGTGACAAGTGAATATTTCTGGAAATATAATGTATAACCACTCTGCACTGTGTGCGAGCAATGCTATGTGCAGACTAAAGTGCCTCAAATGTCAGCAATTTTGAAAAAGACAGAGGAGAAGGAATACGTGCCTCGATATTGGATGAAGTGATGTGTATAGGATATGGAATGGACAACTGTGTGATGTACTATACAGTGGAGCAAAAAAGTATTTAGTCAGCCACCGATTGTGCAAGTTCCCCCACTTAAAATGATGACAGAGGTCAGTAATTTGCACCAGAGGTACACTTCAACTGTGAGAGACAGAATGTGAAAAAAAAATCCATGAATCCACATGGTAGGATTTGTAAAGAATTTATTCGTAAATTAGGGTGGAAAATAAGTATTTGGTCACCTCAAACAAGGAAAATCTCTGGCTCTCACAGACCTGTAACGTCTTCTGTAAGAAGCTTTTCTGTCCCCCACTCGTTACCTGTATGAATGGCACCTGTTTGAACTCATCATCTGTATAAAAGACACCTGTCCACAGCCTCAAACAGTCAGGCTCCAAACTCCGCCATGGCCAAGACCAAAGAGCTTTCGAAGGACACCAGGAAAAGTATTGTAGACCTGCACCAGACTGGGAAGAGTGAATCTACAATAGGCAAGCAGCTTGGTGTGAAAAAATCAACTGTGGGAGCAATCATCAGAAAATGGAAGACATACAAGACCACTGATAATCTCCCTCGATCTGGGGCTCCACGCAAGATCTCATCCCGTGGGGTCAAAATGATCATGAGAACGGTGAGCAAAGATCCCAGAACCACACGGGGGGACCTGGTGAATGACCTGCAGAGAGCTGGGACCAAAGTAACAAAGGTCACCATCAGTAACACACTACAACGGCAGGGAATCAAATCCCGCAGTGCCAGACGTGTTCCGCTGCTGAAGCCAGTGCATGTCCAGGCCCGTCTGAAGTTTGCCAGAGAGCACATGGATGATACAGCAGAGGATTGGGAGAATGTCATGTGGTCAGATGAAACCAAAGTAGAACTTTTTGGTATAAACTCAACTCGTCGTGTTTGGAGGACGAAGAATACTGAGTTGCATCCCAAGAACACCATACCTACTGTGAAGCATGGGGGTGGAAACATCATGCTATGGGGCTGTTTTTCTGCCAAGGGGACAGGACGACTGATCCGTGTTAAGGACAGAATGAATGGGGCCATGTATCGTGAGATTTTGAGCCAAAACCTCCTTCCATCAGTGAGAACTTTGAAGATGAAACGAGGCTGGGTCTTCCAACATGACAATGATCCAAAACACACCGCCCGGGCAACAAAGGAGTGGCTCCGTAAGAAGCATTTGAAAGTCCTGGAGTGGCCTAGCCAGTCTCCAGACCTCAACCCCATAGAAAATCTGTGGCGGGAGTTGAAAGTCCGTGTTGCTCGGCGACAGCCCCAAAACATCACTGCTCTCGAGAAGATCTGCATGGAGGAATGGGCCAAAATACCAGCTACTGTGTGTGCAAACCTGGTAAAGACCTATAGTAAACGTTTGACCTCTGTTATTGCCAACAAAGGTTATGTTACAAAGTATTGAGTTGTATTTTTGTTATTGACCAAATACTTATTTTCCACCCTGATTTACGAATAAATTCTTTACAAATCCTACCATGTGGATTCATGGATTTTTTTTCACATTCTGTCTCTCACAGTTGAAGTGTACCTCTGGTGCAAATTACTGACCTCTGTCATCATTTTAAGTGGGGGAACTTGCACAATCGGTGGCTGACTAAATACTTTTTTGCCCCACTGTATGAAAACAGTGAGATGGGAAAACAGAAAAAACATGTGTGAACTCTCTATTGTATTTGGAAAGTTTAGTGACTACATGTACTAGACTTGAGGCCTAGCAGAAAGCCATTAGCCGCAGCTTCCTGTGTAGCCACAAGACTCCAAAATATTTTAACTCCTCCATTTGTGGCAGCAACTTGTACACAACCTGTAGGGGCTACTCTACCCTTTTCTAGTCAAGGGCTGTGGCCTTGGACTTCAAGTTGCTAAATTTCATCCCATCCACTTCATACTTGGACTGGAAGCTGGTTCATTGCGACCTTAAGGTCATCTTGATGAAATCAACAGAAAGACAGCTTTCAAAAGAAGTAGAAGTAGTGACAACAAGTGACACTGGATCTCAGCCTCTGCTTCACTCTTAGGTGGAATCTTCCTGTGAAATTATAGTTTGAAGGTGTTTATTTTTTGTTTGTTTTGTTTTCGGGGAGACAACAAAACTAAAATTGCTATTTTGGATTTGTTAGACTTGTATTAAATTTATTAAATTAAATTTTGTATGGGTGTGCAGGGTTTCCACCAGCTTAACAGTGGTTCTTACTTAACTTTGGTAGCTTCAAAACATTTTAAATAATGAGGCTTTGCACTAACGAATGATTTCTAATTTGATTCTGAAATGGCTCATGCATTTCAAAATGTGGTGTCAGTATTTAAGACGTTTATATAAAAATTGTGTTTGAATTTTGTGTTTTAGACGTCAAGAAAACTTCCAGTCCAATCCCGACAGTTACAATGGGGCAGTGAGGGAAAATTACAGCTGGTCTCAGGATTACATGGATGTGGAGGTCCGCGTGTTTGTGCCCAAGACGGTTGTTAAAGGCAGACAGGTGAATGCAGGTCTATTTAACTATGTGAGACACCAGTAATACTTTTTTATAACACTTTACTTATTGTAACTGTGTTCACGGCCCACAGGTCAGTGTTAGTCTGCAGACCAGTGGCGTGAGAGTATGTGTGAGGGATGGAGCCGAAGACAAGACACTGATGGAGGGTGAATTCACTTACAAGATCAACACTGAAAACTCTCTGTGGAGTCTGGAACCTGGACACTGTGTGGTTGTGAGTACACATAAGCATTATCTAATTTTTGTAATAAAAACAAGAACACTCCTGAAGAAAATGTGGCAATGAGTGCACCTTCTGCTGTTTGAGTTATCAGAATATGAACTAACAAGAGGGATTAACACCTATCAGGAGCTAACATCTGGTTTTATGGTAGTAAAAAGAAGAAAGAAGGTCACTGGCACTGGCTTGACTGGCCTGACTACTGGCTCATAAGAGGCTGTCATAGCTGTTCCAGAACCAGAACTTGCTTCAAAGCTGATCAGCGAAATCTTAAAATCAATTGTAAAACACGAAGCCAAGCCAGGAGAGAGGAGGCGAGAGTGGCGAAGAAGGAATTGCACTAATGTAGTATGGAGAAATTAAAGATTGACTTTTCCATTTCAGAGTTTGAAAGCTCCGATTTAATTTGGAAAATTCAATTCTCTATGAATAAAAAGTAAAACAGGAGCTACAGTCCAACCTTTCTGTACACCGAAGGTGACAAGGGCTGTAGATGATGAATAATGTGGTGATCGAAGACAAAAATCAAATTTTGTTCATGTTAATGACTATTAAATTGCTTATCTTTGTGTAAGATATTGTTCTTTCCCTGTGGGGATATTAAGTTAATGTCATGTACAGGAACACTAGACTCTACAGAGACTCTGCATTGCATAATGAGATGTTTTCATTTAATGTTTAGTTTAGAAAGAGTTAATGCTCTCTAGTGCTTGGAATAACAGGATAAGTGTAAAAATGAGTTCTGCTCTCAAAAAAGTAATTTTATCAAAAGCCAGTGTTGGCTTTTCAAAGATTGTCTAACATATTTGAATTGAACATCCTGTCTCTGAATTACAGTTGTCACTGAACAAGACATCAGAGGTTTGGTGGAATGCGGTGCTCAAAGGCGAAAAGGAGATTGATATAAACCAAATTAACCGTGAGCGTTCCATGGCAACAGTGGATGAGGAGGAGCATGCTGTTCTGGACAGGCTCACATTTGACTACCACCAGAAGCTGCAGGGAAAGCCACAAAGTCACGAATTGGTAAGGAGCAAATTAAAAAATAACACAAACTATTCATTACACACACACACACAGGCTATATCTATATTATCTATATTATTTCTGTAAAATAAAAACGTTTATCTTATAATTCGGCTTAAATGATATTCAGTTATTGAGTCAAGTCCTTAAAACCTATTCTGACAAATATAGTTGGAAGTCACTGCTGTAGTGCACCTAGATTGTGTGTGAATTGTGAGGATGTTTGTTAGCATGAAAGATACATACATAACATATCTGTGTCCATGTTTCTTTGCAGAAAGTGCATGAGATGCTGAAGAAGGGATGGGATGCTGAAGGGTCACCTTTCAAAGGGCAGGACTTTGACCCATCTATGTTTGACATCCCACCGAGTGCCGTGCAGTTCTGACATGCCACAAAACCTCAGCCAAACATGAACTGAAGCATCTCCATTTAAAGAGCTCATGGCAGCAGAGGCAACACTTATTAACACCTTTGAAATGCTGGAATGATGGAAGTTTGTCCCTAATAAAAGAAGCTGCAAATTTTGCAAATTTGTTGAGATTGGTGGGAAGGGAATATTTCCGTATTCTGACAGGGATGAGTCATTAAATTGAAGCTGATATGTACTATTGTACACTGTTTGACTCTTGATTCAACTCTGCAGTCCCTATGTGTTATCTGCCCTACTGATTCTGTTTTTATTTCAAACTGTGATGATTACCTGCTGGTTCGGCTTCCTTGCTCTGCTGTTAATGACTACACAAAACAAAAAAAAACAAGAATAAAAAAAACATCTAACAATTTACAAATAAATATGAAAAAGGGTTTTCTGAACTCCTCGAGTCCACGCCAATCTTTGGATAAGATTATTTTTTATATATATATATATATACAGTACACATCAAAATCATACAGTGTTGTTAAAATACATCATACGTTTTAGTTTTATTACATTTAACTTACATATGTGAAAGCATAATCATAACTATTATAATCTTTAAAATAAATGTCAAATAAAATCAGACAGCTTCATTTAAACTTAACTTATTTAAATGATTTAACTACTACTTCAGTAGGTAGGACTGCCTTGGATTTTAAACCCTGATGGTGGTGATGAAGATGGAGACTTGGCTGAAACTCTGAGCAACGTGAGAGATGTTGAGAAGGTGGATTGTGCGCAGGAGTCTGAAGGGGACAGTGAGCAGTGAGAGTTAAAATAAGTGCCATGGAGGCTGATTGGTTTAAAGATGGCGGCAGAAAGACGACTGGACTAGATTCTAGTCCAATCGTCTTTCTGACTAGTTCTAGTCACTAGAACAATGGTAAATGGCCTGTATTTATACAGTGTGTGAATGTGTGTGTGAATGGGTGGATGACTGGATATGTAAAGTGCTTTGGGGTTCTTAGGGACTAGTAAAGCGCTGTATAAATACAGGCCATTTACCATTTAGAACAATGACATCAGCATTGCTTTTCACAGCATGGGGAAAGTGGAAGTGTTGAAAAGCAAAGACTAGCAGACAGTGTGATTACAGATGTATTGAACGTGCACATTAAGCTTAGGAATGCATTACTTTAACTTGAGTCTTAAAGGTTCATAGGCTCATAATAACATATACAGATATTAAGGCATTTTATCTTACTGATGTTTCAGTTTTCTGAAATTACTGACCAGGGTTACCTGAGATAGCTAACGTTAATACATGACTTCAACTGATATCTATACCTGCAACGTAGACATCAACTGTGTGATGCTATCATGTCAACATGGACTAAAATCTCTGAGGATTGCTTCCAGCATGTTCAGTCTATGATGAAGAGTTAAGGCTGCTCTCCAGGCAAAATGTGGTCCAAACTGGTACTAGCACGCTGCATCTGTAAAGTATACTAATGTTGTGGCCAGCTTCAGCTGGAGGTGATTTTACCTGTTCTGTACAATACTGTGCAGCAAAAGTCTTAAGCCACCCCCTATTTCTTTACATTTTGATAGAACGGTGGGAAATAGCTGCAGCAATTTATTGAAATGAGTAAATATATGTGGATATATATTAAATAGGGGGGAAAACAGAGTTTTTAGAATTCCGATGTGCTTGAAAATCAATATTTAGTATGATCATCTTTTTTTCAATTCTCTCTGCATGGCACATCAAAATCTGACAGTACTTTTCTGTGTTCAAAATTCTATTAATTTTGACAAAATCTCCAACACCACCGGTTGATATGAAGCCCAAAGAGGCTGAAAGAGTCTCCACTGTGTTATACAGAGTACTCAGTGTTATACCTCTCTCCTGACCTTCATACATAATCTGTATGTATTATTGTTAGGTCTGCTCTGAGCACCTTGAGGCAACTGTTGTTGTGATTTGGCACTGTTATAAAAAGAGTTATAAAAATATGATCTTCTCGATCTATAAAGAAAGGAAAATATTTAAATTAAGTGAATGTCTCTATTTAAAAACAAACAAACAAAAAATTCATGATGTGATATTATAGTATATAGTATATCAGAAATCTGTTCACTATTTTTATTACGAATTATATCAGTAAGGAAGCTGACTAAATATTCACTGATAATTTATGGGACAGGGTGGGATTAAATAAGTGTATACTTCTTCCCACTCCCTTTCAACATGTAATTAATCAGAATGTTTTTTTGTATGTAATTTGTATAGTATTTTTTTTCTCTCTTATTTCTTTTCTAAATGTACTTGTATATTGTTCACATGTTGAAATAAATTACCAATCAATCAATCAAATGTATAAATAAAATTAAAATTTAATTGAATAATAATTCAGATTATTATTCCTATTCAAGACCTATTACAACTGATTTTCAGTCCAGTTCTTGTGTAATGTCAGATATGCAATAGCTCAGCCTTTACTCCCCATTTCCCTTTCTTAAAAATTGCTCTTTGATAGCCGCCCTTCCATTGAAACCATTTCTAATAAGACTTCAGTAAACAGCAGATGGATTAGCAGAAGTGCCAGAAGGATCTAAAATGTCCTGTATCTGGTCAATGCTGTAATCTTTCCTATTTATTAATGTTATAACTTAAAGGTATTGTCCATCTGCTGCGTCCTTTTCTCCTATAAATTTTTTTAAAGAGACACTGCACACCACATCAACATATGCAAGGGTTTAGGCTAATCACACTCTGGGAATCATCTTGTTGGTGCAAAAATACTATTGTATGCCATATCAATCTGTTATTGTTGGCATGTTTTTGTATATTCAACTAAAGAAATTGCAACAAATTATGTGTTTTGTGACAAGCTGCTGTATAAACCCCAAAGACACAGTTTAGAATGGATTCTTTGCAACTTTTGGTCCATTCTTTCAGTTATGTGTCTTTTTAACTAAGAATGATCCATAGGTCAGTGTTAAGTGGCTTAACAAACAAAATAGAATTTTTCAAAAAATTTCTCATTAGCACTTTAAATAATTACAAGTAAACCTGTCTCCTTGGAAGTGTGGGTTAGGAGTAGTGAGGAGTGGCTTAAGACTTTTGCAGAGTATTATACAGTAATGTTTTCCACATTGATTTGTACTGTAATGTATTCTACTGTTATTAATGCATCATTCATGATAACATGTTAGAAAACTTTTAACTGTAACAACTTACAATATATTCTATATATACAGAATATAATATATACTGATATATAGTTTGTAACAAATGTATTAAAGTGTTTTTATTAAATCTCAATAGTAATAAGCTGATAAAAGTGTGAATTTTATTAATAATTTCATTTATGTTAATTATTTGTAAAACTTATTTATGTGCTTATGTCATGGGTATGGGTCTTGAGCCAGTGCTTTATGTTTAGAGTGTTGAATCTTGTAAATTATTCATTGTTTTGAGTTCTCTGTTTGTCTGGCTTCCTGTTTTATTTTGATAGTCCCTCATCTCTTGTGCATTTGGTTCACTTTGCTTCCCTTGCCTCCTTATGTTTAATTTGTTCCTGCTGTGTTCCCCAGATGTCTCCACTCTCCTAATCTTCCTCTTGTGTATATATTGGTCGTGTCCAAATTCATGGGCTGCATCCTCCTGAGGCCGTATTTGTAAACCGATTACGTCACAGCGACGCGCCGAAGGCAGTCCAAATTCGTAGACTCCTCCGAATGCAGCCGACAAATGCGTCCTCCTTTTCCCTGAATTTGAAGGATGAAGGATGGGTGTGTCAGGTGTGTCCTTCGTGGCCTACCATATCCCAGAATTCTGGAGTTTGGCTGGGCCAAACAATGGCGGCCACTACTAAGTTTTAAAATTACTCTTACTAATCTTTCTGGGTCACAAAATAAACTTTTGACATATTTTCAGGCGAGAAAGTAGCTGTGTAAACATCAAATATCTGCTCGGTTTATCAAGATATCACATATTTGCAAAAGTGCTTCGACGTTTTCGGAGACGTCTGCTACCCACCAGCTCGATAGCTAGTCGGGAGCTCGAGGGTCACTGAAGCCGCCGAGAACGGCAAAACTCCCGGCACATCATTTTCAGATCACCGCGGACTTTCGCTGCTCAAGGTTAAACGTAATATATAATTCACTTAGACAACCTAAAAATGTTATTGTTGGGCTTTTTTCAGTGTTTTATTTGTTCGTGAGTAAATCGGTTTGGCTGAGATTAAAGTTATTAGATTAGATTAGATAAAATAAAACTTTATTAATCCCCCGGGGGGGTTCCTCCTTGGTTTTTACACAGCTGAATAAACATCAAACAGAAAACTGATTAAACAGAAGTATGAGACGGTCGAGAATTTATGCCAGTGTCCCGTTATATTTTAGATAGCATTGAGCAGACGGCCGAGTTTATTAAAATCCACTGAGACAGCGGTGACGCTAATCAGAAGGCTAGACCGTCCAATTTCCCCAGCCGTTTACTTCCGGCCTACCCGACCTTCTGAGGACCCGGCCCACGTAGACCGCGAAGGCTGGGTCCTCAGGAGGATGCAGCCCATGAATTTGGACACGACCATTGTCTCAGTCTTCCCTTGTCTCCTGCTCCTCTACTCTCATGGTTCTAAGGTTCCATGTTCCCAGTTCCTGGTTCCCACTGTTTCTCAGTTTAGGTTTTCTGTTTTAGTTCCTTGTTACGTTTTCTTACATTTTCTTATTTTTGTGTTATTAGATTATCTTAATAAGCCTTTATGAATATGGATAAAGGGATTAACAATGCCTATCCCAATGCAAACTCATATATAAGAATGCTACTATAGGTTAATCAATCAATTATTGAGGCTTTATTTACTAGTAATGTATTAATAAAACATTATTAAGCAATTTTGAGTGATATTTCCGTTTCAATAAAGTGTTAAATAATGGACTTAATTGGTAGCAAGCTATAATTTATGCATGAATACATTCTATGAACCTTGCATTAATAATGATTTAGTCAATCATTTTTTTTATTTAACACCAATTAATAAAGAAAACTATCTATCTATCTATCTATCTATCTATCTATCTATCTATCTATCTATCTATCTATCTATCTATCTATCTATCTATCTATATATATATAGATCTATCTATCTATCTATATATCTATATATATATATATATATATATATATATATATATTTATATAAGTTCCTAATTACTCAGGAAACGTCAGTGTTGTTTTAATGCATTGGCTCCATATACTTTCATACATCATCTTGTATACAGCTGGATAATCCGTAAGTATCATATACATCACACTCATTTTCAGTTATCTGTCTTTTTACTGTGTTAATGGAAATAATACGGTTATAATATCTTGAAGAGAAGAATAGAATATGAAACCTACAAAGCAAAATGTAATAAGCCTTAATAGTATTTTCTCAGCTTAAGGCAAGAGTCGATACTTGATCTGCCTAATGAACCCAGTCCACAGCTAGTTTAGTGAATTTTTCCTCTCCCCATTTTTTAAAGACACCATTTGATATTTTGGGCTTTCTTGTTTCACTTATGGCAGTATAATTGATATAAATAGTGTCAACAGTATTTCCATTGGTTGCTTTAAGAGTAAAGTTGAGAGTAGTCCTCTGTACCCACCCACAAATGATTATTTTGTCTGTCCCTGAGTTTTAATTTAACATTCCTCTGGTTGTTTCACTACTACTCTTCCTGTGTATATCAGAGAGCCTTATGTGTTAATCTTACATATTATACAAGCTATGAAGCTCTAGCTTCATTAGCATATTTGACATGAGAATAAAAAAAAAAAAACAATTCCTCGCAACCGCTACCATCTCCTCCACCACCACATGATTACGCAGCCAGTCAGTGTTGAATCTAGTCTTTCTTAGCTCAACATTTGTACAGAATTCATGTTACTACCATACTTGATGTGATTTAAATTTGGCAGAAGAGGACAAATATAGAAACATTAGCTGGAAATTGTCTTTCAAGATAGCAATTAAAAATAATTATGCAAATATGGTCGGAATGTATAACAACAGTAAGACTTATGCAACCTTGTAAAAGTTTTCATTTAATTAAAAAAACACCTCTGAAATAAACGGTATGGAGTAGAAAGTGCAATGTTTGGACTTTGAGGCAGAAGCAGAAAGCCATATAACACGGACATACTAATTTCTACTCATAAATGCATCTTTTGCGGGGGGTTCCCCATGCCCCATCTCTGAACACGCCCATAATCCCTTTACAAAATTGTAATAAAATTATTATGTTTATTGATTATTACTTTCTTAGGTTTTGTGATAAACTGAGGGACTCCTCACCGAATCCCAAAAATAGATCCACACTGCGCCCTTACTGAGTTCCAAGTGCAGTAATGTCATTGTATGCTGCAGGCTTCTCTTCGCTTTATGATGTATTAAGTGTAATCAAATTTTGCGCTCCTCCGCACTCTTGGGTCAGCTCACTATCGGCTTTTGATTTTTCTTTCTTTCTTTTCCTTTTTTCTCTCTCTCTCCGGAGAGACACGTCATATAGTGAGCTCACATTACTGTTTCGTGTGGTATTTAAAGAGTGCGTCCTCATTGCTTGGCAGAGCGGAGAGCCCACTGACATCCGAGCCGGGAGCGTGCGTGTGTGTACCGGCCTGCAATTGAAGCACTCCGCCGTCCGGAGGTCTAAGGTGGGCGGAGACTTGAGATCGAGGTCCTCCTGTGTGCAGATAGAGACACACCGTACATTTGTGAGACGGCACCCGCACACCGGTCCGAGGAGGAAACATCATGGCAACGACTACTTGCACACGTTTTACAGATGAATACCAGCTGTACGAGGAGCTTGGCAAGTAAGCCGCTGTTATATTAATTATCCAGAGTCTCCTGCATGCAGCCTGACCCCGTCCTGTAACCGTACAGAGCATGAGGAATCAAGGTCTGCACATCTGCGGTGATGATTGCAGCTCCATCCTTCCAAAACAAACGCACGCTGGTCTGGAGCAACTAAAATTAGCTCTAAACCTAAATCCTCAGTGCAGGGCGTATTTTGTGGACTTCTTGAAATGCATGAGCCAACCAGTGATGGTGTTTAAGATTGTCAGATTCTGTGTGAAGAAATACTTTAAGGGCACCCCCGCCCCAGGCTAATTAGGGACAAAGCGGTCTAATATGAGGGACAGATTGGAATCATCATCAGCTGTCTTTAATCACAGTGGCAGAAAGCTCAACAGAGATGTCAAAGAATAATGCTGCTACTGCCCTTGATCTACTGCAAATCTAATGAGGTGTGTCTTGTGATTAATAAGGAAAAAAGATGAGGGAGTGAGGATGTGTGGCCCTTAATAGGATGCAGACAAATTGAAACTGAAGAGGCTATGGGTGCCCCAGTGGGTAGAGGCAAAGTGGACTCAATGTCTCTGTCAGGTTGTGCGTGGGTAGAAAGGATCTCTCTGCAATGTTTGCCTCACAGGAACATTTATTCAATAGCCAGGCACAGTGAGAAAAAAAGCTTATTGTGATTGCTGTGGTTGGTTACAGTATGAGCATTTTATGTTTATTTTAAGTTCAGTTGTTTTTTGGTGATCTTTTGTGTGTGTGTGTGTGTGTGTGTGTGCGTGAAGTGATAACTTAAAGACAATAGTCACACCAGCAGCAGCTGCCCTTGCTGATAATAGAGGCTTTATTTTGCTTGTGTTGTCATGTCTGCTGTGTTCCAGGTTTATGAATTTGGTTTTGAATGTGCGATGCAGATGTAAAAACAAGATTTGCTGATGAGTATTCCCTGACTCACACCAAGTGACCTTGGTCACCCAATCAACCCCAACTCTGGTATAAGTAAAGGTACTGCATTGAATACTCAATGACCAGACAAATATGTATTTAGAGTAAAAGTATTGAATGCAGTCAGTGACATAAGACTTATTTCTAAGTAGCATATTGGATTAAAGCTAACAATGAATTTGATTTTCAGTGCTAATTATTTTTAGGTGTTTTGCAGTTAAGTACAGTTCTGATGTACTTAAATATTATCCAGCATTTCTTTTGAAGCCTTTAACAACTATAAAATATAACCATGGCTAAAATGTGATTTTGGAGGTTGGATAACCCTAAATTCAGACACAGGCACATTTGAACCCTTGGATATAATGCATTATTATGCTGTAATTAAAACTCACCAATGTTAGGACTATACGGTACAGTCACGAGTCATCCCTTATGTCTTTATATTTAGCTTGAAAGGAGCCAGCCTCGGAAGCACTAGTTCTCTACATATTTTGAAGCTCTTTCAGACTTTTTCTTTTGGACATTGGCTGCTTTTTTACCGAATTTTAGTTCAGTCCTTGTACCTGATCCTTTTCAGAAAATGATTCTTTTGTTTGTGAAACCACTTGACACTAATACATTATGAATTCAAGTATAAAAAGGCAGACAAGATTAACCAGAGTGTCATCTACATAACAGAAACTTAAACAAAGAACCAATTTTAAATGGAATCTTAGGCACTTTATTGCTAGGAGCCTGTTGCAAAAGCATAGTTCAAGTTTCTTTAGTTGAATCTATGGAAAATATCACAGCAGAGTAAGTAGGTATGGAGTAAGAAAAGTGGCAGGCTTAAAAACACTACCTACAGCAGATGAACAGTGTCTGAAAATCATGTCCTTAAGAAATACAAAAACCAGCAATGACACATCAGACAGCTGTTACAGATTTGCCAGCTGCACGTCCATGATGCTAATCCCCCATTTCTCCACTTCCCAAAAAGTGCTATACTGGATTGAGATCTGGTGACTATGGAGATCATTTGAGTACAGTGAACTCATTGTTATCTTGAAGAAACCAGTTTGAGATGATTTGAACTTTGTGGGGAAGATAAATGAGGCTACAAAAGAGAGAGCATATTTCTGCCATATTGGCTTAAAATTCTTCTCCTCGCGTATGAGGTCTTGAATAATCAGGCTCCATCTTATCCAAATATAGCACATCCCCCAAAGACTGCTGGCTTACACATGGTTCCCAGGGTATTTAAAAGTAGAATGAGAGGCCTTGAGCTTTTAGGCCCTTCTTGTGTGGAACCAGTTCCCAGTTTGGATTTGGGAGACAGTTTTAAAATTAGACCTAAAACTTATTATAACTTATTAAAACTTATTTTTGATCAAATTTATAGTCAGGACTAGATCAGGTGACCCTGAATCCTCCCATACTTATGCATGAATAGGTCTAGGCTGCTGGACGCTTCCCATGATGCATTGAGGGTTTCTTGTTCACTCACTTTCTTCATTCACTGTGTGTTTGCACACCACTCTGCATTTAGTCATTAGTTATTATTAATCTCTGCTCTATTAACCACTGTCACCAACCACTGTCACCAATTGTTTGGTCAAAGGGGGTCATCTGATTATTGAGGTTTTCCCTGTATTAGTGTAGGGTCTTTACCTCACATTATCAAGTGCCTTGAGATGACTGCTGCTGTGATTTGGTGGTATATAAATAAAGTTGAATTGAAAAAAGTGGTTCAGTAATACACTAATGCTTTAATAGTGTAAGAAATTTTTTAGCACTAATTAAATATTATTTCAATTTTTTATTTTTACTATAATTAAATTTTTACTTAAATTCATCTGATACATACAGTCTGTGATTCCATGTTTAACTTTAATTGTCAGGCCATTGTGATGCCCCTAATGTATATGCAGTAATTCAAAGAATTCCAAGCCAGTAACATTTACATTACCGTGTTTCTCAATGACTATCAAGTTCTTCTCCTGAAAAGCTGGTTTTGTTCTATGCCAAATGCATCTACTGTGGCCAAACAACCCAACATGAGTGACTATGAATGGCTAATTTTGCATATTTGTAGATTACAAGATGCCAATAATTTTTAGAGCTGCATTTATTGGAAATGGACTTTAGTTTTGGCAAATTAGCAGCTTGCTTCATGTGTAAACAAACTGTAGACTCCAGTATCCAAACACTGTAGAAATTAGCATTATTAATGACCAAAATTGTTAACCCCATGTCAGATTCTTGATTACCACATGGAATTTCCAGGAAGATTGCCATTATGTTATTATTATATGAAGGAATAGACTTACTACTAAAAGTTTTCTATCTGGCTATATGACATCCATTTTTATTATATGACAAAAGGGAAAAGATAGCAGATTAGGTAAGAGACCTTACACTCACATTAATCCAGGTTTTAGACCCAGATCCAGCACTCCAGCTGATTCCCACCTGCCCTGCAGATAACCTGTCATGTTTAAGCTCTGCTGCCTTTCCCACCAACCAGCGGGATGTCAGCAAGTGTCATGCTTAGTCACCCTGTCTCCCCATAATATATTCATGTTGGAGAGCTTGTGAGATGCATGGGCTCTGAGGGGAGTGTGAGTGTTTCATTGCATAACAATACTGAGGTGAGATAAAATTAGCTCTGAGAAATGACAGAGGAGGTTATTTCTGTTGGTCTCTATTGAGTTTGAAGAGCAAATGTGGCCCCCAAAAACTCTAAAATGCACACACTCAGGGTACTTCAAATTGATGGCTTTTCTTTCCTGTTTGATGCCGCTGAAATTACTGGAATTATTCAAGTTGTAAAGGAGACACGACTGTAAATAATAAGAGAAACAAACCCAAAGTTATTGTGTATAAATGCTGTAACCACAAGATACACTGTTGTTCCATTTGGGAATATGTCTAGATTCTCAATGGTGTAGATCATGTTTTAGCTTCACTAAAAGGTGTTTTACGTCTAAAACAGTGGGTAGTACGGTTAGTAGCTCTGTGGGTGAGCAGACAACCATATGCTAGATGGTCAGAGAACAGTGGACGGGGTTCGAGTCTAACCTGTGGCCATTTGCACTTTGTCACTCCTTTCCTGTCAATCGTCAGCTTTGCCATCAAATGAAGGCTAATACAATCTTTAAAAACAAAGGGTTAACTTATGAGAAGGTAAAATGTCAAAAACAATGAGAAGTACATTTGCCTTCATTATACATTATTTCCTTAGGGATTAATAAAGTATTCTGCTGTCTGTCTGTTTGACAGTGCAGTGACAGACAGACAGACAGACAGACAATATAAGAGCCCTTACTTTTTAAGAGTTGTTGAGGCTAGGTTAAGAAGAGAGAGGTGACAATGAATGAGTAGCAGTATGAAGAAGTCTGAAGTGGCAGAGATGTGTGTGAGGATGGTGTAAGACATGTATGAGGACAGTGAGTGATCTTTGGAATATGTAGGTAGAAAAGAGCATGGAGAGGTGGAGATATGCACTGGAAAGAAGAGGAATGAAAGTCAATAGAATCAAAAAGGAATACAGGTGACAGGTAACAGTGAAGACGAAGATGTAGAGATAGTGAATGTAGATGGAAAAGAGGACCAAAGAGAATTATGAATGTGGAAGACATCCAGAAGGTAGATGTAACAGAAGAGAATGCAAGGACGAGTGGATGATGGCGGAAAATGATCTGCTGTGCTGACCATTAAAGGGAGTAGCCGAAAGAAGAAGAACACATTTTGAGTGTTGGTGCTGGAGTAGCACCAACACTGAAAAAGAAGCCTATCAATCCTGAACATAATGATATTTCATGCCAGTGTCATTGTAGTAGACCATATTAGAACTTGCCTTAATCAGCCAGGCTATCCTAAGCCTAGGCTTAATTTCCACACTGGATGTTATGTGATCTGATGATAGAATGTGTAAAGTATAAAAAACGGACACGTCTTCTGGGTCTGAAAAGTGAAGCCGGTGTGAAAATGTCATAAATCTCCATTGTTTCCAATGGCCAGCAGGGAAGGAGGCTCCTCTGTTTGCAAAAAGAAGCTATGTTATATAGAAGTCTATACGAAAACTGCTTACTATATTTAGGCCCTCACTAAACACTTACCTGATCAGTTTATGTTGTCAGTCACTATAAGTTAAAATATTTTTACAGCACTGTGCTCTTATTGTAATTTATTATGCTCCTGTTTAGCAAATAAAGCAATAAAGGAGAGTATACTTCAGAGAGGGCCTATGTTGTTATCCACAGTAGATACTAAATAATAGTACCGTGTCCCTTGGTTCCGCAGTCAGATCCATTACCTGCTAATTACAGAAAAATCTAAGTAATATAAATTTGAAGCACTTAATTGGGTAAGAGAGGAACTAATCTAGAATAGTTAAGAGAAAACATGAAATATACTCTTGGGGTGGCTGTAGCTCAGGTGGTAGAGGAGATCATCTACTGATCGGAAGGTTGGTGGTTTGATTCTTGGCTTCCCCTAGTCTGCATGCCAAATATCCTTGGGCAAGATACTAACCCCAAATTGCTCTCCGATGCATCCATCGGAGTGCGAATGCGTGTGAATGTTAGCTATAAAGCACTTTAAAAAAATGTGCTTGTGTGAATGGGTGAATGCACAAGTTGTGTAAAGCGCTTTGAGTGCTCAGATGAGTAGAAAAGCGCTTTATATAAGAACCAGTCCATTACTATACTCCCTGTGTGAGGAGATAGTGATGTTTTTAATGATTTGTGGTTGACCATTGACCAGGACACCCAACCGAATGTGATCAAAATATGAGACCTAAATAAAATTTAGGCTTGTGATTTTAATTTATTCTCTTCTCAACATATTCACAATTTGTTTTTGGAAAAGAATAGCCCCTGGTGTTGATGAGGTCCGCCCCGAGTTCCTGAAGGCTCTGGACGTTGTAGGGCTGTCCTGGTTGACACGCCTCTGCAATGTTGCGTGGAGATCAGGGGCAGTACCTGTGGACTGGCAGACCGGGGTGGTGGTCCCCATCTTTAAGAAAGGGGACCGGAGGATGTGTTCCAACTACAGGGGGATCACACTCCTCAGCCTCCCTGGGAAAGTCTATGCCAGGGTGCTGGAAAGGAGAGTTCGTCCGTTAGTCGAACCTCGGATACAGGAGGAACAATGCGGTTTTCGTCCTGGTCGCGGAACACTGGACCAGCTCTTTATCCTCTCCAGGATACTTGAGGGTGCATGGGAGTTTGCCCAACCAGTCTACATGTGTTTTGTGGACTTGGAGAAGGCATTCGACCGTGTCCCTCGGGGTGTCCTGTGGGAGGTGTTGCGGGAATATGGGGTGTCTGGCCCATTGCTACGGGCCATTCGGTCCCTATACAACCGTTGCAAGAGCTTGGTTCACATTGCCGGCAATAAGTCGGACTCGTTCCCGGTGGGTGATGGGCTCCGCCAGGGCTGCCCTTTGTCTCCGGTTCTGTTCATAATTTTTATGGACAGGATTTCTAGGCGCAGCCAAGTGGCGGAGGGCTTTCGCTTTGGTGGCCTCAGAATCTCATCTCTGATTTTTGCAGATGATGTGGTTCTGTTGGCTTCATCGGGTGAAGGCCTCCAGCTCGCACTGGAACGGTTCGCAGCTGAGTGTGAAGCAGCGGGAATGAGGATCAGCACCTCCAAATCTGAGGCCATGGTTCTCAGCGGGAAAAGGGTGGAGTGCCCACTCCGGGTCGGGGATGAGTTCCTGCCCCAAGTGGAGGAGTTCAAGTATCTCGGGGTCTTGTTCGCGAGTGATGGGAGAAGGGAGCCGGAGATCGACAGACGGATTGGTGCTGCAGCTGCAGTAATGCGGACGCTGCACCGGTCCGTCGTGGTGAAGAGGGAGCTGAGTGTAAAAGCGAAGCTCTCAATTTACCGGTCGATCTACGTCCCTACCCTCACCTATGGCCACGAGCTGTGGGTAGTGACCGAAAGAACGAGATCGCGGATACAAGTGGCAGAAATGAGCTTCCTCCGAAGGGTGGCTGGCCTCTCCCTTAGAGATAGGGTGAGAAGTTCGGCCATCCGGGAGGGGCTCAGAGTAGAGCAGCTGCTGCTCCACATCGAAAGGAGCCAGCTGAGGTGGTTCGGGCATCTGACAAGGATGCCCCCTGGGCGCCTCTTGGGTGAGGTGTTCCAGGCATGTCCCACCGGGAGGAGGCCCCGGGGCAGACCCAGGACATGCTGGAGAGATTATATCTCTCGGCTGGCCTGGGAACGCCTTGGTATTCCCCCGGATAAGCTGGAGGAGGTGGCTGGGGAGAGGGAGGTCTGGGCCTCTTTGCTTAGGCTGCTGCCCCCGCGACCTGGCCCCGGATAAAGCGGATGAAGATGGATGGATGGATGGATGGAATAGATAAACAAATAGAGCTGCAACAAAGGCTACATTGTATAGGGTTTGATTGTATAACTAATTTCACTCTATCTAATAGATACATTTCTTGGATTAAAAAAGTGCTTAAACTAATCTGACATCAAATTAAAATTAGTAATTAAAAGTGAGTTACTACTGCAGGAAAAGGCATCTTTGCACTGTTTCTCTTGGACACAACGTTTATGTCTTAAATAATGCTTTTATGTGGCTGTGGTTGGATTTAGGAATAGGTTAGGTAATAGTGCTCACTGAGATACATGGTTATGTCGGAAATGATGGGTGGTTTGTATGCTTGCCTAACAGCAAGAATGTCCAGGATTCAAATCTACCATCTGAGGCCTTTCTGTAAGTTTGCACGTCCTTCCTGTGTCTGCATGGCATCAGGTTAACACAGCTGTGATTGATTTTCTACCTTTCTGCTTCAGTACCTAAAACCTTTGGATAATACTCTGTATTAGATTAGACAGAAAAGAGTCCAGAATGACAGTGAGGTCAGCTGGACAGCTATGATGTCCCTATTGATGCTGACCAAGCTTATACAGCAGCCTCTCACCCCCTGTTTCCTGTCTTTTTTTTTTCCCCAGGGGGGCCTTTTCAGTGGTGCGTCGCTGTGTCAAACTTTGTACAGGCCAAGAGTATGCAGCCAAAATCATCAATACCAAAAAGCTCTCGGCCAGAGGTGAGAGTGAAAAACAAAGCAATCAAATACTCTCTGCATTTTCAGGAATTTGAAGAAGCAGAGACATCATGTCATCATCATGTGTATGTCCCAGATTTGAAAGGCTCACATTAGCATATTTTAGCGCTTGTTTGATTCCAGAGTGTGAAGCCTTCACGTCTGTTTCTCGGAGAGAGGCAGATGATAGGCTCAGTCATAATCCACAGCACGATAACTAATCTGTGCTTTGAAAATCATTTCCCCAAAAAATACTTACAAGGAGAGTCCAACTATGAGACAGCTGCATTATGTTTTTGTTTTTTTTACTTTTCCCAACATAACACTGACAAAAAAGGAAAGACAATACAAAACACCTCTGAAAGCAGCTAAAAATACAGTGGTGTTATTGCTGTTCAGAAATTAGCTCATCGGTGGGACTGTGGGAGTGTCAGCCTCACACAACCTTTATTAAAAATACAACCAGTTCTGTCTCAGGTTCAGGAATGTTTCCGCTGAAATTGTTTGTTCCTCTGTGTGCAGAACTGATACAGATGCTTGTGTCTGAACTGTAGGGCAACACTAGCTGCCTACAGCACAGAGACTTACTTGGATCTCTTACACTAACCTCCAAGCAAAACATTCAGTTGAACCAAAGCTCTTCTTGTTTCCTTCTCTACTTTCCTTGGTTACTTTTTTCACCTTTTGGTCATTTCCTTACCTGTATTTTTTCTCCTCTATTTTATCCCTTGTTATGCCTGTCTTGGTTTTTTCTTGTCTACCTATTTTTATTTTCTATTCTTTCTGCAGTGTCATTCCTGATATGTTTCTCCTGTAGTCTCTTTCCTCTGATGTTGTTTTTCTGCTTTTGCTGCTGGTTCTTCCTTCTTTTCTGTCTACTTCTCTCTTCACCATTCCTCTTCCTTTCCCTTTTTCCTCTCTTCTTTCTTCCCTTGTATCTTCTGTCTTTTCTGTCCCTGTTTTTTCCTCTCCTTTGCACTGATGTTTTCTTCACTTCTATAATTGTTTAACTCGACTTTTCTCTCTTGTTTCCCCTTCTATCACTTCTCTTGTTTTACTTCTTGCTTTTTCTTGTCATATCACATCCTCTCCAGTTGTTTTTGGTATCGTTTTCTTTTTCTGCCTTGTTTTTTGTCCTCTCCTTTCCTATTTTCTCCCTGTTTTCTTTTTGTTTTTCATTCCATGTTTCCTCTCTTCTCATTTTTCCCCTCCTTTTCTTTCTTGTGTGCTTACTTTCTTGTTTTCGCACCCCATTCTGTTCCCCATTCTTCATTTCTCAACGCGTTTTATTTACTTTATTTTCTTGTTTCATTTACTGTCATATCATCCCCCTTTTTCTCCTGTTTCTTCTCCTTGCCATTCGTTTTGACCACAGTGGCGTTTTCTTGCTTTGCTTGTTTTGTCGCAAACTAACATAGCATTACTTCCTTGTAGACCATCAGAAACTGGAGCGGGAAGCCAGGATCTGCAGATTGCTAAAGCATCCCAACATTGGTGAGACTTTTTTTCAGATTTCTGTTTATTACATTTTTAAAGATAACTCATCCAAGTGACTTCTTTAGTCTCAGCTGACTGCACGTTCCCCCAACCTTATAAACAGTACAATAACGGAAACCACCCCGGTGAATGAACAATGGGCTGTGAGGTCAGTTCCTTGATTATTAATATGCAAATTCTAATGAGAACTTAAGGTTGGGGAAACCTGCAGTCAGCTGAGACTGAAGAAGTCACTTGGATGAGTGACGAAACATTTCTCCCATTGAAAACACAGGTGTCTGAGGTGGAGTTGGGGAAGAGGTGGGTTGCATGAACGAAAGTCTGAAAGGAGGATAGACGAAGAGCACAGATTCAAATCATGCGAAGCGGAGGCTGATTGGCTCAAAGAAGGCAGATGAGAAAATAATTGGGCAAGAGTGAGAGTCTGAATAATACAAAGACAGGAGAGTATGTAAAATGCACGGAATTGAGCATAAGTAGTTTGTAGACAGCAGGCAAGAATATTATTGGACAGAGTAATGATATCAGAATTGAGTTTAACAGTGTGGGGAAATGAGATAAGAGATTACAGATCTTCCTCACTGAATTTACGCATAAGCTTCATTGGAACTGAGCAATACTTATGAATTTAGTTTTGCTTTTCTTATTTCTATTGTACAGCTGTCTATTTTGTATATGTATCTGACAACATCATGTTAGTGGGCGTGATGAGGCTTAATCAGAATGTGTTAATGTAAGCCCTTTGCATTAGCAATCTTACTGAGTTAGCTAAACTATTGAATTATATATACAGTCATACTAAGTTGTTCTTTGTTAATATTAATTGTTTAACATCTGTGACCCTGAGTGAAGTGAGTTGTGGGGTTGATGACTATCATCAGAAAAATCAGAAGAGTGCACAATGATCCTCTTAACAATGCACAAAGAAAGACGTGCAATGTGAACTTCAAAGTCTTTGCACTGAAGTTTTGCAAGACAAACAGTAATGCTGTGTATGTTTCTAAAAATTAAAAAAACAAACAAACCATACAGGGAGATGCTGACATAAAATGGGGCATTTTTAACTCATTAAGTTATATTAAACTAATTCTTTTGTTAGAGGTGAACTAAAAATATTTCAACTCTCTTTAATGTATTTCAGATTTTTATTTAGACTATTTAAACACTGAAAATATTTCACTTTTAAATCTGTCAGCTTAAGATTTTTATTGATAAGCCATCATAAATGGGAAATAGGCTTTAGTGAATTGCTTAATGGAGAAATTGTCAATAATGAATGCATGAAAGGCCCCAATGTTTAACTTTTTATATTTAAAATGTAACTTCACAAACTTCTGGTTGGGATCTCATTTCTATACACTGGCTATACAGACATTAATTGTGATAAAAAAAATAAAGCAGGGTGTGCTTTAGGGTGTGGTTGCCTTGTGATGGACAAGATGCTGCCATATGGCTTTAACACTATGCAAGAGAAATGATACATCATTTGAAAGATAAACCTATAACACTCCAAAAGACACTCTAAATCTGCATCTCATTTTATATTGGCCTAAATTAACAGCCTAATTCATATCAGTGAATAAGCAATGTCCTTTGCTACCCAGAGTAGCACTAGTGTTGACTGATCAGCTGATCAGCTGTTTAGCAATATGAAATATCAGTTCTTGTGGAAAAATATTCGTCAGTTAAAAAAATAGAAATAGAAAAAGCTAAAGCAATATCTATTGTTTGTTCTTACCAGTATGTCTTAAATATATGGGCTCATTTGGTCTATAATAGTGCCGAAAGGCCTTAATAAATGTGCTTTATAGCAGCCTGAATAAAAAAATGTCCTAAAACAGACCTAATTAGTCTGATATGGGGGGGGCGATTGTGGCTCAAGAGTTAGGAGTTCGCCTTGTAATCGGAAGGTTGCCGGTTCGAACCCCGGCTTGGACAGTCTCGGTCGTTGTGTCCTTGGGCAAGACACTTCACCCGTTGCCTACTGGTGGTGGTCAGAGGGCCCGGTGGCGCCAGTGTCCGGCAGCCTCGCCTCTGTCAGTGCGTCCCAGGGTGGCTGTGGCTACAATGTAGCTTGCCATCACCAGTGTGTGAATGTGTGTGTGAATGGGTGGATGACTGGATATGTAAAGCGCTTTGGGGTCCTTAGGGACTAGTAAAGCGCTATATAAATACAGGCCATTTACCATTTACCATGATATCCCTCTTGCAGTTCGTCTTCATGACAGTATCTCTGAGGAAGGCTTCCACTATCTCCTCTTTGACCTGTGAGTTGCTTCCTTTCTTTTTTACTTCTCCTGTTTTTCTCCTTCCATCCTCTACTTCTTTTTTCCCTTCTCCCCTCCCTTGTCCTCTGCCTCCTCTTTCCTCTCCAATGGTGCTTCATTTTCCACTCCCTTCCTTCAGTCCTTATGGCATCTGTCTCCTCAGTGATGCCACTGCTTTACATGATTTCTTTCTTTATACCTGCATCTCTTCATTCCTTCTTCTCTTCTTCTTTTTTCTCTTCTGTCTCCATCCCCCTTCTTGGTTCCAAGGCAGTTCCCCCATTGCATAACAGCACCCCCACCCCCTTCCTTGCGGCTCCCGCTTTAGTGCACACACAGCTAGATCTACACTCCCCCGCACTGGAGCCAGTCTCCATGGCAACACAGTCAGAGTGAATCCTGCAACCGGGGTTTCCCCCTAATGAGGACATCCCCCTCCTGCATGTGTGTGTGTGTGTGTATACATTTGTGCTGTCTGAGTAAAGAATAAAAATTTATATAATTTGCCATTTTAACCTCCATCTTTCTATTTCTCAGAGTGACAGGAGGGGAGCTGTTTGAGGATATTGTGGCTCGAGAATACTACAGTGAAGCAGATGCAAGGTAAACCCCTGGTGAATATTATCTTTGACCCCTTTTTCTTCATCTTTTCTTCATCCTCTGCCTATGTCAGTCCTCCAGCCTCTGCAGTCCTCCAGCAGCAACTTGGAGAGTTGTGTTCCTCTCATTAGCACGCAGATAATTTTGACACATTGTTTTTTCTTTTTTTCTTTTTTTTTGGCAGAACAGGCTGTGGCTCTGACGGATTATACCTCTGCGCAATTTTCTGTGCACTGAATTGCAAATTGAGGGCGAGGAGCTTTCTCCAGAGTCCAAATTTACAGACAGATTGAAACATACAAGAAAACTGTACAGAAGGCACACATGCCCATGCCATAACCCCCTTAGGAGGCAGACTTAAATCAATTTGACTGCGGAGGCGGTTTGTGAAGGCGTGAGAGAGAAGAGAAGAAGGGGACAGAAATGTTAAAGGGAGGATGGGAAGAGGTAGAATGAGAGATGCAGTAAACTGATTTTTTAAGCTATTTATTATTTTCCATAAACAGATTTATCCCTCAATCCTCGTCCTAACTCTGGCTTATTCATCTGTTATCCAATTCAGGACAATGAGTGATCTTTTTCACATTCGGTTTGGACTGTTATACTTCCAACATAAAATATGAAGTATTAATCAATTATAGCGTGAGAGCCATCAAGTTTTCAAGTGAAGCCGGGTTTGTTTTGTGTCTATGCAGCAACAGTAAAACTGGAGTTTTGTATTATGTTGCCAAAAGCATTATATAAATGTTTTATCTGTGGTAATTCCTCAAATTGTAATTTAGGCAAAGTAATAAAGTACAATATAATCATCAATCAAATCATGATGTTTATGCTGTCAGAAAATAAATTACCATACCTTATTGTCAATTTATTTTATATTTAAACAGTGCCAAATCACAACAACAGTCACTTCAAGGGGCTTTATATTGTAAAGTAGACCCTACAATAATACAGAGAAGAACCCAACAATCATATCACCCCCTATGAGCAAGCACTTTGGCAACAATGGGAAGGAAAAAAACCCTTTTAACAGGAAGAAACCTCCAGCAGGGAGGGGTGGCCATCTGCCATCTGGGTGAGAGAATTGAAGACAGGACAAAAGACATGCTGTGAAAGAGAGCCAGGGATTAATAACAAGAATGAGTCAATGCAGAGAAGTCTATTAACACATAGTGAGTGAGAAAGGTGACTGTATCTTTAGAGTTGCCTTACCTTTAAGTTCTGTTATGGAAATCTTTGCAATCTTTGCAAAGGGGGTCAAATACAGGTAATGGTAGAGAGTGTGATGAGGAGGTGCTTGATATAGAACAGAAATGAAGGACAGACAGTATTAAATTTGAAAGAGATCGGAAACTGCAAGGTGGTAGCAGGGTAGAATGTAACAGGAGGGCTTTCAGTAATCAGTAGGATGGCTTTGGAGAGTAAGAAGAGGAAGTGGGTGAAGGCAGAGGCAAGGATTAAATGGTGGAAGTTGGAGAAAGCAGAATGTTGCTCAGAGTTCAGGGAAGAGTTATGAAAAGCTCTGGGTGGTAAGAGAGAGTTATCAGATAGTACTGAGGCATTTGGTTTAGCCTTTTGACAAACTAAAGAGGACAAGGACACTTGGTGGTGGAATAAGGAAGTACAGGAAGTACAGGAAAGTATTCAAAGGCAGAGGATAGCAAAGAGTAAAAAGTAAGTCAGGGAGATGACGAAAGTAAACAGGAGTACTGGAAGGCTGGGGTACATCAAAGAAAGAGCCTGCAAAGGAAAAGGCTTTTAGTGAATTGTTGTATGTGAGATAGACACAAGGGAAAGAGAAAATTACTTTTGCTGATTGGCTAAGCAGAAAGATTTAGCTGCAAGTGATGCACAGCAGGTTAAGGTGATTAAGGAGAGAAACGGAAATGTGCTAGTGATAAACAGTGATAAACCTGTTGAGTTATGGAGATGTATATAGAAGAGTACAGTGGACTGTTTGGCCAGTTTTTTTTAAACACAGTTTTAAATAATGAGAGGATGACTGAGGAATGGTAATAAAGTATACTGGCTCCAGATTTCCAGAACAACAGTAATGTGCAGAGGTATAGTAAGTACAGGGGGATAGAGTTGATTTGCCTCACCATGCAGCTATGGGAAAAAGTTGTGGAAGCTAGGTTAAGAAGAGACGTGATGAGTAGTGATTGTTTGGATACTTTTACCATTTTGTCTTATTGTAGCTGCTAGTGGTTCAATAAACACAGCAAAGAGAGGTGGCGAGAGAGGACATCTTTACCTGTCCCATTGTGTAGAATGAAGTTTTGTGAACTCAATTAATTGGTGGTGGCTGCGGTCTTTAGTGAAGTGTAAAGTGTCTTTATTCAGTCATTTAATTAATTTTCTCCAAGTGTTGGAAACAGTAATTTCTACTTAACTCTATCAAATGCTTTTTCTCTGTCTAATAATAAAATTATGGTGTTTATTGTTGTTTGAAAGCTGTATTGAATTGAAAAGTTTTTGGGAATTAGTGGATGAATATCTACTTTTGGTAAAACCTTTCAGATCAAGATGAATAAGAAATTGTATGATTTTATCTAGTTCATTTTAATAACCTAACCATATTAATAAGAGATAGTGGTTGATAGTTCTCTGGATCAAGGATCTTTTGCTTCAAGAGTAATGTCATCAGGTGTTGTATTCATACTTTGGAGGACTCTTTGAAATCATTCTTATAAATAATAGAGTTAAATTGTCTAAAATGTCTTTCAAAGTGACTGGAGAAACCTTCAGTTACAGGCATTTTATTATTGGGCATTTGATTGAGTATATTAGAGATAGGGTTTTTATCTAGTGTGTTCATTTGATCTTGTGGGAGGTTTAAGGATGTCGAGCAATTTAATGATGTATTCAATATTCAGATCATAATCTGAGGTTTATAATTACAAAACAAATCCTGAAAACATTAGTTATATCTATAGAGCTGTAAAAAAAACACCTGATAAGTCCCAGGTAACTGTAATTATTGCTTTAACTGTGTTTTGTTTAACTAGATGTGGGATTTTACAAGGTATTCACTTGAATTATTAATACACTGGACTTTGTTGAATTGAAGTCATTGAGAGAAACTGTTGGTGTGTGTGTGTTTTCTTTCTGTTTTTGTTTACTAGATCATTTAGTTCTGAAGTGAAAAGTTATTATTAATCTCAGGCTCTCATCCACAGCATCTCTTTTGTCCTGTCTCCCTCCCATCAAACCCAAACAGTTGTGGCAGATAGTTACCCGTCTGTGAGCCTGGTCCTCCCGAAGGTTTCTTCCTGTTAAAAGGGAGTTTTGCCATTCCACTGTCACCAAGTGCTTGCTCACAGAGGGGTTGTCTGATTTTTCGGATTTTCTCTTTATTATTGTAGACTTGTTGTTTTACAACATAAAGCACATTGAGGCAATTGTTTTTTGGCACTATAAAAATAAAACTGAGTTAAATTGAAAAAATCTTCAAACTCTAAGGACAAAAAAAACTGCTCTGGGTCCTAACTCTGGAATTACACTAAATGTGACCAAATTTCAAAAAAGAAAGGTCATTATATATCCAAATGGTCCAGTTTAAAACTTCATTGACATTGTAATGTTCAACAAGAACACTTTGCTTGCCATTATAGAAAACAATAAGTCACAAACAGAATAATAAATTGTAATCAGTTTGAACAGATATGACATTGGTAATACTACTCTTTGGTGCTTCCCAAATAAAGCTCATCAATGACTTCCCAATATACTGTACCATAACTGCAACTTGACTGGATGGAAGATGCATACAACCACAAACCACTTATACATACTAATCACTAAACAGTATGTTAAACAATATGTTTAATGAAACAGAACTCAGACAGTCAGTGGTGCTAAATATGGGGAAACATGTTGTCAGCTGAGACTGAACAAATCACTTGTCAGAGTAATGACATGTTTCTTCCAGTTGAAATGCATCATCCAGATGCACACAATCGGCTTTCTTGGATTTCTTTACCTGGCTGATTAAGGATGCATCAAGACATTTTCTGTCTTTTTATTAAAATATATATATATATATATATATATATATATATATATATATATATATATATATATATATATATATATATATATATATATATATATATATATATATGTGTATATATATATATATATGTGTATATATATATGTATATATATATATATATATATATATATATGTGTATATATATATATATATATATGTATATATATATATAATATCACAGATTTGGATCACAGCCTTTATTTCTGTTTAATGAGTAATATTAGAAAGTTGCAGAAAGATCCATCCACACACCTGCAGAAAGGAGGTGTGTGGATGAACTTGCCTCTAATGAACAAATGCTATACTAATGCTTTGCCAGTTTGAAAAGTCTCTCAACCAATTAAAGGAGATCTGAAGATCAAAAGATATTTAAAAAAAGATAGGAATTTGTGTTAAACTATAAGGAAAGTTATTCCTCTAATTTTAACCTTTACTTTCCCTGTTATTCTCTGTTCTTTCCTTCAGCTGTCTTCAATCTCCCCTGTTCTCTTTGCATAAATTATGTGTGTGTCTGTGTGTGTGTGGCACTCTGTGTGTTCATGTGTGGGTGTGTGACTAGCAGGTCTTGATTTTTGTCCAACAGTATCTCACTAATGGTTTCCTCTCTGTACTCCATCTGTACGCAGAATCACTCAGTCTCTCCCTTCTTTCTCTACCCTGTTCATGTCTCACTCACTCTAGATGACCAAAAAACAGATTTCCTGTTACTTAACCTCTTCTGGTGTCCAACCATATGGATTCATTTGGTTTTATGTGTCAGCTTTTCACATACTGTAGTTGTTACTTGAATTTCTGTCCACCACAAATGAGTGTGTAAAATAATTCCACAGAAAACTGATAATGAGTCCTCTGGATCAGTGGTCTCCAACTTTTTTTGTGACACTGACCGGCTTATGTCCAACAATATTTTCACGGACCAACCTTTAAGGTGTCGTGGATAAATACAACA